GTATATTTCTATCTCTTCTCAATTTTCCCCCCTTACTATTGCCTAGTCATCAGACTTCCATTTCCTTCTTTCCCTTTTGTAGGGCCCTGCTCTGAGTCCAGGCTACCCTCTTTACAGAGGACACCTCCCCTAAATGGAATCCAATGGATTCTACCTATTCTTATAGCTTTCTTATGGCTGACCACTGTTACTTCTTCACCTAGCTTAATTCTTTATTTATTGAAAGCACTCCTCAGAAAAACCCAAGTGTGCCCAACTTCCTCTGCCATGTAAAGTTAGGTTCCTGTACTGGAGGAAGGGGAGTCAGCAGCTAGATGGTCAATTACTTCTGCCCCATGCATTCCTAAATTATTACCACTCAGAATTTCTGTAATAGCTAGTCCAGCTATAACTGTGATCCATCTTCAAAGAAATCTTAGCTACTTAGCACTAGTTTGGTGTAGTAGGAGGAGTACCTTTTATGTTGCCTGGGCTGGTTTCCAAGGGAATGGAGAAGCCATTCTTGAGATTAACATGCGTTTAGTTTCCTTGTTTTCTGAGGCATGAAAGACCTATGGCAAATTGGTGGTGTGGGGCTGGCAACTGCCTTCTTGATTACTTTACCTATTGGTGAATGGTAAGGATGGGGTTGGGGTAACTACCTTAATTTATATCTTTTTAACCCAAAGAATTGTGTCCTTTGTCACCAGCAGAGGGGTTTTTGTTGTTTTTCTTATTTTGCGTTTTATGATTCCTAAGTGCCTCACTGCATTCTAACCCTGAGCTTCAATCACAGAACTGATTTGAGTTGAGCCTGGTCCAAGCGGCCAGACGGTGCAGTGGATGGAGTACTGGGCCTGGAGTCAAGAAGATCTGAGTTCAAATTTGACCTTAGATACTGTGTGACCCTGAGCAAGTCACTTAACCCCTATTTGCCTCAGTTTCTCATCTGTAAATTGGGGACACAGTGGAGAAGGAAATGGCAAGCCACTCCAGTATCTCAGCCAAGAAAATCTCATGGACGATGTCCGCGGAGTCACATAGAGTCAGCAACAGGTCCATCTTTAAAGAAATCTTAGATACTTAGCACTAGTTTGATGTAGTAGGAGTACATTTTGTGTGGCCTGGGCTGGTTTCCAAGGGAAGAAGCCTGGTCCAGAATTATTATTCCTTGAATATGTAACTTTGACAGCACAAGTTCCTTTTACCTTTTCACTATCAGTTTTGTTTCCTTGACTCAGTGGAACTGGGGATGGTACTTCGAATGTATGTTACTGTTATTGTCTAGAGTGAGGGGATAGTATGCCTCTCTTTGATAAGGTCAGGCCTGTGGCAATCTTACCTTCAGACAGCTGAGAGTTACAATTAAACATAGTATCGTCTACAAATAGGAGTGTTTGGAAAATTTCTCCATCAATAGGGAATCTAATTCTTTTATTTGGATTTTGCATGGGTGTAGGACATCTTCCATCATATGGGCTAGTACCTTAGGTGAGCATGTATTTTCAAACTGAATTTGAATACAAGTACTCTGTCAAACAAAGTTGTGTCCATAATCCAATCCATTATAGAGGTTTGTATAATTTTAACACTTGGGACACTTGTTGAGATGGGCAGTTGAGACTGTGTTTTGTTCTACAAAGACAGATGCTTTGAAACAATCAAAAAGACAAGATTTTATATTCTCTGTATTTTTGTCGGTTATATGACCATAAAGACATTGGCTGCTGTAGACGCCTGTCTGTGAGAGACAGCCTTTTTCCATCTCATCAAGGATGTGTGTGTGTGTGTGTGTGTGTGTGTGTGTGTGTGTATACGTGTTATTTCATTGGTGCTGGGCACACTAGGTAATGAAACTCCTCTCACCAATGTAGAAAAGCAACTCTTTTGCAATTTATTGAGCCTGTGGGGTTTTTTTTTTTGCCTGTGGCGCTGAGGAATTAAATGATTTGCTCAGAGTCCCATGACCTGTATGGATTAGAGGCAGTAACTGAATGCAGCTCTCTATTCATGCTGCCACTCAAAGATATGCTGGATTAAAGCAAAATCTTAAAAAAAAAAAAACAAAACCTGACAGGGGAAAAAAAAGTGTTACTTTGATGACTCTTATACCTACTTGAAGATACTCCACTATTTAAGCACAAGTTATTTTCTCAATCATGATTATAAGCATGAAGCAGGAGCTGGGGAACCCAAGATTTACCCTTCTCAAGGCTGAAATGTGATGTGCCAGTCATCGGGAAGGCAGCACTGGACTTAGTGTGACAGGATCTGGCTTCTAGGCTCCACTTGCCCATTTACTAGCTGTGTGACCTTCCTAAGCCTCGGTTTCTTCTATCAGATAGGGACAATAATGTTTCACCGTCTCACAGAGTTGTGAGAATGAAATGAGATGATATGTGCAAAGTATTGTGGAAATATAACTGCTATTATTAGAATTTTCATAGTGGAGGAGATGAAAGGTTGATTTTAACCTCTCTGATGAAACATGAAGGGAGTGTATCAGCAGGCCAGCAATTTCTAACCCTTTGGGGATTCTGGATCATAGGGTTTAGAGTTGGAAGGTAATTAAAACCCCTGTCCCTGTTGGGCACATTTCTGCCCTTGCTGCTTGTAAGCACCATAACTCCATCTTCCCTCCCCTGGCTGACCCCATTGTTTATTTAGTCACAGAATCATAACCGTCTAGTCCCTGCCCAAACAGGAATCATTTCTCCAAGGTGCCTGACAAGTGGTTGGTCACTCTTAGCTTTTCTCACCAGCTTTGGCTCCTTCTGAGCTTTGTCAGTCTTGGCTTATTGTTACAGGATTATGCCACACTTTTATATTTATCCCATCACTTGCCCTTGCTTTAATTTTCTGCACAGTTTTTAGAAGTCCAAGTTGTAAGTTGTGGTACATGAATGTAATGGAATACTATTGTGCTCTAAGAAATGATGAGCAGGCGATTTCAGGAAAACCTGGAAAGACTTACATGAACTGATGCAAAGTGAAATAAGCAGAACCAGGAGAACATTGTACCCAATAACAGCAACATTATGCAATGATCAAATATGAATGACTTAGCTCTTCTCAGCAATGAAATGATCCAAGATAATTACAAAGGACTTATGGTAGAAAATGCTATCCACATCCAGAGAAAGAACTGATGGACTCTGAATGCAGATCAAAGCATATTATTTTCACTTTTTTTTTGGTTTTATTTTTCTTTTTGGTCTGTTTCATTTTTTTTCTGCAACTATAACTAATATGGAAATATGCTTTACATGATTGTATATATATATACACACATATATACCTATACCTATATCAAATTGCTTGTCGTTGTAGGGAGGGGGAAGAGAAGGGAAGGAGGGAGAAAAATTTGGAGCTCAAAAATTTTTTAAATGAATGTTAAAAATTGTCTTTACGAGTAACTGGAAAAGATAAAATGCTATTTTAGGAATTTAAAAAAAAGTCCATGTTGATTGATAAATTCCCTATTTTGTCCCTGTTGTTCTCTCTAGACCAATGGTTGGTCTTCAAACTTTGTTGGTCACATGCCCCTAGCAGTAAAGAAATTTTGAGTATGTGTCCTCCAATATGTATCTACTTATTTATAGAATACATACATGTATAACTGTACTAATTATAATTATCATGTATGTTATAATATATTATTATATGATATATAATTATATAGTATATATAATTATAAAAACTTGCACAAAAATAGAAATTTTGAAAGGACAAGATAAAGATAAAATAATATTTGATCCTAGAGTCACTGGGGGACAGTGGAATTTATTGAATAGAGGAGTGACTTGGTTAGTCCTGCACTTTAGGAAAATTACTTTAATAGTTATGTGAATATGGATTGGAGTAGAGAAGAGATTTGAGGTGAAGAGGCCAGTTAGGAGGTACCACAATGGCCAGGCAAGAGTTGATGTGGGCCTGAACTGGAATCATTGCCATGTGAGTGGAGGGAAGGATACAGATGTGAGATGTGCGATTGTGTGATCCTCGATCCAATGTGGGGGTAGAACTGACAAGATTTGGCAGCTGAATGGATATGCGGGATGACAGAAAGTGATGCCGAGGTTGTGAATAGGTACTAGTCAGTAACAGGGAAGTTTGGAAGGTGAGTGGGTTTTGCGGGGGCAGGAGATGATATCTGTGCCCCAGATCACAATCCATCCACATCTGTTCATTTTGTGATTTCTGTTCCACCCAATATGAAGAGGGAAATATGGGACCTTATCCTACTGGTCATTGCCCCCAAGCACAGACCCAGTCTTCTGAGAGGTGTTGCATGTCTGCCACAGTCATGAGATGATTTAGGGGCAGAATTTTCTCATTGGCACCTGCTCAGCTGCTGTAGCTGCCCTGAGAGGTCAATCCCCAGCCTAGAAGGAAGCTTGCTCAGCACAGAGAAGACATGGGTGATTGAAGGAATGTTGGAGTATGATAGTAGATGGATTATGTTGCATTGGAGACAGGTCCCCATGGCAACGCTATTGCAGTGATGGCTAGAGCAGGATGCTACCTGTCTTTACCTCCTCTCATTGGTTGATCGTGTATCTCTTGGGGTCAGGCTACCACTCTACTTTGGAGGCCACTGCTCTGGGCAATTCCCTTTTTCATCTTTCTCATCAGAATGGTTTCTCTTTTTCTCTTCAGAATTTCATTTCTAAGAGCCCCTCATTGTTCCTGACTTCCCCTATAGAATATTGGGCCATGGAATCATACCTGTCCTTTCTCTGAATTACAAAGCTGGAAAGGATGTTAGTAATCAAGCTGGTGTTAGCATGTAGTGTGCTGCACTGGAGTATCATCTTGTTGATATTGGAATTTTGGTGTGCATTTGTAAAGGCTGAAAATTTTAAAAGGCTTTTGTGCCTTTTAATTTAACATTTAAGGATATTTAATGTTATTTATTAGTATTACAATCATTATATATTATCATTTATAATATATCATAATATAATTATTAATATAATAATTATTTAATTTAATATTTAAAGATAGCAATTAGCTCTTGTTCATCTTTAATGAAGGCAATAAGAGAGGAAGTAAGGGTAAATTCTACAAGAAGGACTAATGTTCTGCCAAAAGCTTATCAAACAGCTAGCATGCGTTTCAGAGAAAGTTCAAGATTCTTCATCTAAGATATCTTTAAGAGGAGAACAGATTTCCACCTCTCTGGAATAATGTGGCAGTTGTGTGGTATGGAATGCTAGATTTGGAGTCAGGATAGACTTGAGTTCAAATCCCGTCTCAGATGCTTCCTAGCTAGGCAAGTCACTCTCTCAGCCTCAGTTTTCTTGTCTCTTCAATGGGGTTAATAACTACATCTATTTCACAGAGTTGTTGTGAGGAACAATTAGATAACATATATAAAATGCTTCACAAATCTTAAATTGCCATGTAAATTCTAGCAACGATGATGATGATGATGATGATGATAGTGGTAATGATGATGATGGTGATGATGATGATAATGATAATGATAATGATGGTGATGATAGTGATGATGATGATGATGATGATGATGATGATGATGATGATGATGATGGAGTTACATTAGCCCTTAGTCCTACTCTAATGCCTTATCATGGTGTGGGGATGACCCTGTTTTTTTGAAGACTGGGGCAGGAAGCAGAAGCTCCTTGTTGATCCTATGGAACTTTCAGTATGGCCTGACAACATCTATATGAGGATTGGCTTAACTAAATTTAGAGAAGCTCATTGCCTGAAGGTTAGCCATCATGCAATTTTTTTTTGGGGGGGGAGGTGGGGTTATTTTTGTTAGAGCAACTCATTTAAGCCATCTATTAAGCCATGAAGGGGTCTGAACTCTCAGTGAAGAGAATAGCCACACACATGAAGTCAGGGAGGTGTTTTGTTTTTTTTTTTAAGGAACCGGAACACTGAAATCAAGATTTGCTAGACATAAAAGTGATTAAGTCCCAATTTCTTTACATTAAAATGAGAACAGCAATGCTTCACCCCTGCAGGGATAATTTAATAAAGTCACACTTATTAAAATACTTAACTTTGAAGAGAAAAGTTCTGTCTTTACTCAGTGGTCACGGCATAGGGACAATATGGTCAGTGGAGAATGATGCATTGGAACTGTGACCCTTCCTCAACTTACCCACTAAATCTTGAAGCTTTCCAAATACTTACCCTTTATTTTGGTGGGACCATAGTTGAGCTGCAAGCAAATTAGTCCCTAAATGGGATTAAGCCAACAAACCATGTCCCATACAGTATCATGATGGAGATTAATTCTGCAACAACAGGTTTATAAGTTGCTCTAGACCGAGGGGAATAGCCATTTTTCTTAGCACTCTTTCGTAGCCCGTTTTACCAGGGGCATTAGGGCCAGGGCCAAATGTTACGCCTCCTTTGGCTGCAGCCTGTTTCATCACCATTTACCTGAGGGCTTTCTCCCTATCCTCACACAGCCTGAACATCCAGGAATTCCAAAGGAAGCAAGGGGCAATATGTGCTGGCTTGGTAGACAGTAGACTTGGGTTTCAATCTTAATTCTGCCACTTACTCGATATGATCTTGGACAAATCACTTAGCCTCTGCAGGCCCCAGTTTCCTCATTCCTGTAAAATGAGAGAAAGGAGCGGTTGGGCTAGCTGGCCTTTCCTGTCCCCTCCAGTTAATCTAAGATCCCATCACTGAGGGCCTTCCTCTGAAGATTCCATGATGTTACCATGCAAAAAAGCATTCCTTATGATACAGTTGGAAGAGCTGCTTGGGTTGGGCTTTCTTCTTGAGACATCCAAGGAGAAAGGGATAATGAGGTGTGATACTCCCCAGACAGTTTTTCCACTTAGACAACTTTGACTTCCAAAGTTGTATTTCTCTGAGTTCTGCCTGGGGTTGGGAAGGCCAGGGTCAGGCCTTTACAGTGGGCTAATAGCGGCCAAGTTGTTAGGGATCCGGCAGGCCCTGTCCAAGGTATACAACAGCTGGAACTCATGGGCTGCTCCAGGGGAGGGCTATTCCAGCTGCCAGGAATAACCTTCCTTAATGACAGACATGACATTTGAGTGAGGGTCAGGAGACCTAGCTTATGAAGCCTCTGCTACTTCCTGTGAATCTTATGTGAAGAACTGTTACCACTCTAAGATTCAATCTCTTTCCCTGAAGAGAATAATACCAGTTCCCTATCTACCGATATCTGAATAATAAGTGTCTAACTGATGCATATCCTTTCCAGACAGCCCATGTCTTTCTGTGGCCATGGTATAGGTGTTATAGCATCGTATGTGCTATAGCATTATAGAAGAAAGAATAGTCCTTGCCCTGAATGACCTCTCTGTTTATTTTCATGAACCTTGGAAAGTCCCTTCCCCAAATGAGCAAAGCTTTTTCCCTGAGTCTCTCGTATGGCTAAAATAAAACTGGAGCTAATCTCTTAGCAATCCCCAGCAAACAGGTGGGGTCCCATTTGCAGCAGTTTGTCAAGGGCCTAAGCAGGCTATTTTCATGTGCAGATGCAATTTTGCCCCTTTTGGGGGTTAATACCCTTCCCAGCTTAACTGCTCCTGTTACTTATCTTTGTCCTGCTAACAGCTCCTCACAGGGATCTGAATTTCCTTTGGCTTTCCCATCTACTGAATTCATCATTGTTGGACTTACCCTTCCCTCCTCCTTTAACAAAATAGGCCAGGGATTATCTTAGACTTCAGCTTCCCAGCCACAAGCACATAATTTTAAATTTAGTCACTGCAGACCAAGGCCTGCTCTAAGCTAACTGGTTGCTACCCCCTTACCCTTGGGGTGCTCCTAAGAAGCTTACAGTTTGGCATCTTTCTAGATAGAGTTGTATAAAACTTGAGCAATAATCACTTGGGTCTCAGTATTTATCATGGCAGGGTTGATTTGGGCTTACAATCCTGCTGCACAGAACAAAAGCCACAACAATCAGGGAGTTTACAGCACAAAGCAGACATCAGAGTAATGATAAACAACACAATGTTATAATAACCATCCTGATTTCTGCTGGCCACCTCCCAACCTCTGGTTCTACTGACTTATTTTCCAAGGAAGATGCAGAATTGGAAATAGACCTTACAGCTTGTTCAGATTAGGCCATAGTGCTGGTTGGATAGATTTTTTTGGTCTTATTTTTTCCTTAGTAGGGCTTATAACAAAAAAAAAATTTAAAAAAAGAATTCATGGATTACAGTCTAAAGAGTGCCAGGTGCAGTTAAACAGGCTTTGGACTTATGGTTTAAGATGAGTATGTAATTAATAGCCTCCATGTGTCTGTAACTATAAAAATGAGCCTTTTTAAGAATGAAGAAAAACAGAATGCTATTAAATCCATTTTGGCTGTTCAGAAATTTTTCACAAAATATTTCACTGCAAGCATCTTTGTGCATGTGCACATGTTTTGAAAGCAAGAAAAGGCTTGCCAAATAAAACTTCCAAAATGTATTTTTTTAAATGCTATGCAAATATTTTAGGGTAAGGATAATGCTAAAAAGCACTTTAAAAATGTAAAATTCATCTCTTTGAGGGGCTTAGTCAAAAAAAGTATAGGCAACTTAAATTTCATCCAAAATTCTGTTTTCCTCTCACATCAAACTAAGAAGGGAACAAGGTAAAAATGGAGGCTCCCAGCCTCACAGAGGCAGGCCTGCCACACACTAAGATAGTGGGCCTAGGATTCCAAGCTTTTCCATACCCTTTTTTGGAGAAGAAAAAGACTGTCGGTTATTACCAAAAGAGATCATTAAAATCCATAGAGCTCTCTGCAGCTAGGAAAGAGTGTTTAAAAACAGCTCAAGGCAGAAGGGTCTGAGCCTATTAAAGAAGGGATGAACTAAGGGACAGGCCTCCTGTTAGGGCCAGAGCTCATCTGAGTGCATTGCCAAGTCTCCTGGCTCTGGCTTGTTTGCCTGCTTCCCTCCCATTGATGTTTTAGGTGCACCATCTAGCTATTTGGGTAGAAGAACAGAGTGAACACTTTTACTATGGGGAATTTGCACCAAAGTCTAGAATCTTCTAAGATTGGGCCCCTTGGGGTGAGGCAGATTGTGTTTAATCTTGAAGTTGCTGATGTTCTTGCCAACTGGAATGTTGGGTTGACTTCACTTGCTGGATATCATTATGCTGGTAGTTGGGGTTTTCCCACCCCGACACATGCTTTGAGAGGGTGTCTGTCACACCAAGAGCTGGCAGGAGGATTAAGGAGCAGGGCCTTCCCAGGAAGGTTAAGCTGAAGTATGGAGTCAACAGAAGATCAGTGAGATGCAGAGATGCATGCTTGATAAGCAGGATAGTTAAGAACATAAGTATTCTGAACCAGTTGACCATCATGGAACAAGGGCTCCATCATAAGGAACAGCCAGCAAAAGTCTTATTCTGAGTCCTCTTAATGGACTCAGGAGTCTATACAAAAATATACAGCTTTCCTTCCAAAGAGTGTGCCATGCTGGATCTCATGATACCACCCCTGGCTGAAGGGAGATTTTGACATATACCACCTAGTTTATATACCACACACTGAAAGGGTGACCGTCACCACCAGGGCCCAGAAGATGCAAACTGAAGCTTTGGCTTATCCAGGAGCAGAAGAGCTTACAGAAACAAGTGACTGAAGCCAAAATCTCTCACGTGAAGTCAGTTTTTTACTCTTACTGGGCACTGAGATTAAGGAAAAGTGGGCACCATCAGTTTGCCACTGCTGAGCAATTCTGGAAGTGGGGTTTGCAAGACAATTCCATGTAAATGATATCTATACTTCTTGTTCACATCTCACTTGCAGAGTGGCAAACAGAAGAAGAACTCAAAGTGTTTCACTGGCCTTTGGAGTTGGCCGTGATTCACTATGTCCCTTTTCACGGGGCCGGGGTCTTTCCAGTTCCTCTTCCTTTTCTCACATGCTGACTATTTGAATGTGGACAGGTCTGTCCTCTTGGCAGATGACCAGGGAATCTCTGGCAATGGCTGCTCTGATGCAGTCATTGAATGATCTATGGGGCAGCACCAAGAGTGAGCACTTCCTCTCACATCACGCACAGCCCTCACTCAGAAGACAGGGATCTGATCTCTCCGGACAACATCCAGGTCATCATCTAGAGTTAATAATACCTGAAATGAGAGAGAGAGAGAGAGAAATAGGGAGCCATATTTGGTACCTATTTTCCATCTTACAATCCAAAGGACTGAAAACAATGTGACACTGAACAAAATATGGCAGATCCTGTTACGTAAGAGATATGGTTTTCCACCTTTATTTCTTCCAATGTCCCCTCCTCACAATCCTTGCTTCTATTTTGGTGATCTGACCGAAAGTTGCCAATTTATATGAACAAAACACCCAAAGAGAAAGTAAGATAGCCATTTGGGTTTACATTTTCCATAGGAATTGGTATTGCTTTAAGCAATATTTCCCAAATTAGACTCTAGGGCTCTGTTTACATAACCCCATAATGTATCCAGTGATTGATAACAGTTTGATGGAGAGCTGTTGTCACTTCAGCCATTATACCACCATTTAGGGCAGATAATCTAAGATAACATTGAAAAGGTGGTGATGCTGTCTGCTTATAATAGGGGACTGTTGCAAATATACATGTGAGCAATCAATATCACTGCCAGGAAGGTCAGAGAAGTTTAGATAAAAGACGAAGCTGATTTAGGAAGATTCCAGAATAAAAGATTCTATATTGAGGCATGGGGAAATAAAAAGACCTATCTGGGGGCAGCTAGATGGTGCAGTGGATAGAGCACTGGCCCTGGCTTCAGGAGGACCCAAGTTCAAATCCGGCCTCAGACACATAACACATACTAGCTGTGTGACCCTGGGCAAGTCACTTAACCCCATTGCCTAGCCAAAAGGAAAAACAAAAAAGGACCTATCTGCGATGTTGAGTCTACCAATTGGTTAATAAAACAAAGCAGTGGAAATATAAAATGGTTAGGAAAAATAACCTCCAAGGTCCTTTTTCTATTCTAAATTCTGTGAGCCTAAGAGAAGATTGGGGCATCATCTGGACAGATAGCCTAATGCTACTTTGTAAAAGAAAAAAAAATCCAGTGTGGAAAGCAACATGACTCCTATAGTTGTTAAGGCCTAGTTTGACTTTTGTCCACATGTGCTTAGTCAATTATTTAGCCTTTCTATGCTTGAGGGAAATGTAAATGCAACACCCAAGAGACATAACCAGCAATTTTTGTGCTCAGGACAAATTGTGTAAACTGATACCTCAATTCATCTGGAGTGTGTGTGTGTGTGTGTGTGTGTGTGTGTGTGTGTGTGTGTGTGTGTAGATCCTTAGCAGGATCTCATGACGCTGCTGCTGGGAAACCAAAAGAGAAGAGGGATAAAGCCCAGGGAAAGGGAGAAAGGGGAGAGGCAGAAGAAAAAAAGACACAGAAAGTATTGACGGTGGGCTAGAGAAAGAGAACAGGACAGTAAAATGGAAAAGCTGCAAAACTCACCAAGAAGGAGAAAAACAAGGCAGTAGCAGAAAGGAAGTGCCAGACATCGTGGTCGTCAAAGAAATCCAGCAGGATGCAATCACGATTCTTCTCTCGGGATTCTGCTGGGGTTTCCTGGGGAGGGGAGATAAGCCAGGGCAATATCCCAGTAAATTTACCTGGTTCCTTATTAAATCCCTACTGATAAGGGAGATGATTTCCAAGGCACAGGAAAAAGTACAGAAGATGGCACTTAAGGCCATCCTATCTAATAGTGGGTTGGAGATGCAACACATGCACAAATAACTTTGAGACAAAATAGGATTTAAATCCTAATAAGATAAGTACAAACTAACTGCTATACACAGTTTCTACAGTTATAATGAGTCTAAGTGATAGGTGACATGTGTGGAAGTGGCAAAAGTAGTGCCTGGGGACCTTCATAAAGCATCTACAAGCAGATGCTGAGAAAGTTTTGATTGGTATAGCATTAAAAGTATAGATTTTGATAGTATTGTCATTTTTATTACATTGGCATGGCCTAACCATGAGCAATAGATATTGCAATGAATATTCTTCTAGATATTTCTTTTACATGTTTCACCCTGTAATTTTATCTGTTTTGGTTTGCCTCCCTCCATAAATGACATCTATCCATCCAGGCCTCAGCCATTCTGGTCTTATTCTTACCCTATCAATCTCCCACTTCTCTTAGGGCCTGAAAATCAACTAGATGCCTCTCCTGGGACAGCAGCAGGACTCAATAGGGCAAAATGAGCTCCAGCTGAGGTCTTGATAGTCCTTCTTAACATATAAAATATGAGGAGGGCTGGGCATAAGACCAGATGAGACTCTCTGAGAAGTTTCTAGGGGTCTGTCAGGCAAAATTCAGTCCTCAGGATGGCAGGGTAGGGTACAAGCCAGGTTTTTCCTACTTGAACATGTTTGGGACTGGTCAGTGTCATGCTAGCCTGGTTGGTGTCTGTTCTACTCAGACTCTGAAGTGGAGGAAGTTAAGCTAAACTAAGCAATAAGAGTTGGAGGACAGGATCCCATAGAGTCCTGGGGGCCTTTTGGGCTCTGGCATGGACAGAAATGAACTGACACTATCCAGTTTGATTTTGGCCTTTTTAGGCTTGACAAGCATTCTTTTCCAAACAGTGGCCATGACCCTATCCTGCTTGGTGATGCCACTGAAGTCAAAGGTGGTGATTCAGGATATAATGGATAGCACATATTGCCTGTATACCTCTTCTTCCTCTATAGGGTTCCCATGGAGAGTCAAGTGTCAAAGCTTGGAAAGTTTTGACAGTTTATCTACTTCCATCAGGTGTCGGATGCAGTTGCACTTGAAATAAAGGACACTAAGGTTGAAGACCATGTGGTCAGCACATGGTCAATATTGGAGAGGTCATTGAAGGACAAGTCAATCCAAGCCCAGGTTCTGGGGATGCTCCAACAGCTGCGATATGGTTTGGGTGAAGTTGTGCTGAGGTCATTGAACACGTTGTTTTTGATGCACGGGGCCTACGGTGAGTAACTTACCCTGTTTATAGCATTTTATTGGCTGGAGCCCAATCCTGGGCTTCTGACTTTTCAGACATCAGATGAAATGTATACTTTTGAAAGAAAAGCTGAGAGAATGGCTCTTGTGCCAAAATCTTCACATAATCCCAATGGTCAGTCATAGTTCAGGTCATTATGGGGGTGTGGAAAAAGCCTCGGGCCCTGGGCTGCCAGTATCAGCCAGCTCTGTCTCCTCCAGCCTTTGCTTTCCCAAACACAAGGACACACTTAGTGTAGTGAGTGCCATGGTAACTACCATAGGAACAGCCTCCCAACCCCGGTGCCCTCCTCCAGCTTTTTAAGTTGTTCTTCATTTCTTTAAGGAATACTTTGTAATTGAATCTATACAAATCTTCCATGTGTTTTGATAGGATGATCCCCAGATCTGTTATTTTATGCATTTTGTAGTTATTTGGGATGGGATTTCCCTTTCCATTTTTGGTTCTTGTGTTTTGTTATTATTATATAGAAATGTAGTTGGTTTTTGAGGCTTTATTTTGTAATCTGCAACTTTCCTGAAGCCATTGTCTCAGTATTTTTGCTGATTCCCTTGGATTTTCCAAATAAGCCATCATATCATCAGCAAACAGGAATACTTTTTATGTCCTCTTTACCTCTCTTTATTCCTTTAATTTCTCTCTTGTCTTATTGCTGTTGTTAGAATTTCCAGAAATATATCACATAATAGTGGGGAAAGTGGGCATCCTTGATTCATCCTTATATTTATTGAAAAAGTTTCTAGTTTATCCTCATTGCAAATTATGGTTGCTTTTAGTTTTAGTTAGATGCTTTTTAAGATATTAAAAAAGATCCCTCTATACCTCTGCTTTGTAGGGTTTTTAGCACAAAAGAGTGTTGTACTTTGTTAAAGGCTTTTTTCTGCATCTCTTGAGATGATCATGTGATTTCGGATGTTTTGGTTTTTGATATGATTAATTATAATGATTGTTTTCCTAATGTTGAGCTATCCTTGCATCTCTGGTATAAATTCCACTTCATTGTAATGAATGATTTCTTAAGTAAATCACTGTAGTCTGTTCGACAGGACTGTTTAAAATTTTTGAGTCCATGTTCATTAATGATATTGACCTGTAGTTATCTTTCTGTGTTTTATCATTCCCTGTTTAGGCATTCAAACTAAATTTATCTAATAAATGGATTGTAGTTGGGTGCTTTCTCAATTTTGGAGAATAATTTTGAAATATGATACTGTTTTCTAAAACTTTGATAGAATTCTCCATCAGGAGATTCCATCAAGATCAGGATCCTTTTTTTCCCCCTTTGGTAGTTCCTTTACATGTAGATCTATTTCCTTGTCTGAGATTGGGTTATGTCAATTATGTTTAATTATGTTTAATTGGGTTTAGAGGTATCATGGGCCACATGGGCAACATGTTTGACACCTCTGGTGTATTAGATGAAGTGCTGGGCTTAGAATGTGAAGAGTAGAGTTCAAATCTGCCTCATATAATGACTAGCTATGTGACCTTGGGCAAGTCACATAACCTTTTTCATCCTTAATTTCTTCATCTATAAAATGGAGATAATAACAGAACCTAGTTTACAAGGTTGTTGTGAGGATCAAATGAGGTGATATCTATATCTATAGCTATGTACAGAGCTTTGTAAACCTTAAAGTGGTCTATATATGTTAGCTATAATTATTGTTAGTCTTCTATAATCTTTCTCATATCTATCACTGCTTTCCCATTCCCACTTCCATACTTGCTACCTCTCAATAGGTTTAATATGGTCTCCTTGTCTTTAGTCTCTCTTCCAATCCATCTCTGGTCATGTCACTCTCAAAATATTTAAGTAGCTCCCTATACTCTGATAATACAGGTTGAAGTCCTTATTTTGCCACAGTCTGGCTCGAGATAACTTTCTAGGCTTATTTTCCATCATTCCTTCTCACAAACTTTAGGCTTCAGACTGCTTTCCCTTCCTCAAACATGCTGCGGGCTTTCTTTGCTCATGCTGTTCTCTGTGTCTGAAATGTACTTCCTCCAATCACCATTTGTTTAAATCCTACCCATCCTTCAAAGCCCAATGCAACTACCATCCCTTCTACAGAGGCTTTCAACCCACAGTGATCCTCCCTTGTCTGGACTCATAGCATTTTGTACCTCCCTTACATACTTATCACAGTCTATTTTGGGGTTGTAGTCATTTGTGTGGCATTCTTATCCTCCTTCTCTCCCAGCACATACACATACTGTGAGGTAGGATCTCTGTAAACAGTGTATTACCCAAAGTAGGCATTGCATAACTGTTGAATGAAGACTGTGAGGAGCAAATGAGATGATTCATGTGAAGTGCTCTATGCAGCAAGATATTATTATATGAATGAAATAGCTCTGGTTCAAAAGGAACTTTCTCCCTGAAAATTTCAGATGAATGTATATAGTAATAAATACATAAAGCAAAGTAGGGGATTATCAAAGAAAAGAGCAAAAAGGCAAGATCCCTGAATCATAGATCTTTAAAGATGGAAGGGAGCCCACTGGCCATCTCTTCCAATGCATATCTAAAAAGGAATTCCCATTGCAATAATCTGACAAGTGGTCATCTGCCTCTGCTTAAGGGCTTCTAATGAGGAGAAATTCATTATGTGCTGAGATAGTCCATTCAGTTTATGGACAGCTTGAATTGTTAGGAAGTTTTCCCTAAGTTCAAGCCTACATATTCCCCTTTGCAACTTATACACAAAGTGCAGAAACCAGGAGCAAACAGAACTATTTGCAAAGATGGAGAGGGAATGACTCCTTGTAAAGGAAGATGTTCTCTTACCTCCCAGCTGCTAAGATTCTGGAAGAAAAAGTAAAGGGCTGCTGCCCACACCACAGCTGTGGCAACGATGCAGAACAGTGGGATGGGGAGGACCTTCTCAGAGCTGCGGAGCTATAAGAACAGAAGTGTGAGAAAGGGTTAGGGCTCAGGGCAAAACCTAGGTTATTAGCCTAGCTTCTGCCTGGAAGGCTGGGTGCCTACGAAATCAGCCCTGCCCCTATGCAAACCCTTACCTTCATGATGATATAAAAGGCCAGGTACAGCAGCAGGTTACAGATAAAAATCCCCAACATGTAGGAAGCAAAGTCCCTGGGTCGATACACCAGTCCAAAGAGGGCACTAAAGGGTGCAAGGGGAGGAAGACTAGGTTGGCTTGAATTTTTTAGACTCGGGAAAGTAGATTTATGATAGCATAATTTCAAGGTTCATGACAACTTTATCCAATATTATTTTCAAGGGAAGATTATCTCTGAAGGGAGAAGTACCTATCCAGAGGATGCATTTACTAGGTAATTACCACAGTATTTCACAGATCTCCATCTCTAACCATCATCACTCTCTCTGATTCAATTAGAAGAACCAACTGGTTTGGCTAGTCAGAAGAACACTATGGCTTCCCCATGTCTCAACCCACCCACAACTCTGATATACTTGTATTTGTAGCAGGAAAGAGGGGAAGGAGCAAGAGACTGACTATAGGGTTATGGCTTCTGAAGTAGGAATCCAGTTCATAGGCACCTTGCTTCATAGATCTAGAGTCAGAAGATGCTTTAGAGACCTTTTAATCCAACCCCCTCATTTTATAGCTGAGATCACTAAGGCTCAAGCAGTTGCTTAAGGTTGACTTGCACAGGTATTAAGAATGCAATTTGAACCCAGGTCCTCTGACTCCAAGATCCCTTTTAAGTTGCCAGAGAAGCTCTCAATGACTGGATTATGGTTTTCTCCATGCCCTTGCATGGGTCACTGTAGACCAGGAATGGAGAATTTAAGAATAGGGATAGGGACTAGATCTGTGCTTTTATTGGTAAAGGGAATTCCTCAGGTTGGGGAACTCCCTCTGTCAATGCAGGTCAACACCTTCTCTACGACATATAGTCTTGGAAAGTTGTCTAGACTGCTAAGAAGTTAAGTGGATTGCTCAGGGTCGCAGTATATGTGAAGGACTTAAACTCAGTTCGTGGTTCCAAGACCAGCTGTCTATCCACAACACCGTACTGCTTCTACTTCATAGGGAATAAATCCAATTAGGTTCATAACACAAACAGCAAGTTAATTTAAGACTTTGCTTTGTTCCTTTTCTTTTCAGGAAGAATTAAAAAAAAAACCCTTTCTACTCATTTGATTTTAAATTAAGAACAAGAAACATAGAACTCAATGAAATTAACACAACTAAGAAAAATACATTAATTCTATAGTTCTATTATTGCCAATTAACAGTCAGAGTGAGGGAGAAAGGAGTGGAGGAAGAAGAGACAGAGAAAGACTGTAGATAACTATAGATGGAATGGGAAAGACAGGAAAAGAAGGGAAAATGGAGATGGGCCTTTCAAATATAGAAAATGAGATATATAAACATATAGAGAAATATATACACAACTGCAGAAAGAGACACAGGTACATAAAGAGAGAAGTAGAATTCATGGAATAATATGCATATCATAAGGCCTTTTAGAATATGGCTGCTAAAGATTTTTAAAGCCATATTGAATTTCTGCAACTATAGGTACAAACAGGGCTATCACCTGTTGGGACTTGCCATACAGATCAGATGACATGTTGAGAATGAAACAAAAGAGACCATTGTTTCTATATAACAGGTACTGACTTAGAGGGAAGTCCACTAAAGTCCTATTGTAATGCTTTTATGTGGCATGGAGGTGGCTGTGTATTCTTGAAAGTTATTTTGTTAGCAAGATCTGACTGACATAGTCTATCAAGTTGGAAAGACTTTCAGTATCAGTTCAGTTATTCAGCCTTACTAAGGTCAAAGATTTATCACCAAAGGCTTGGCCATTAGGTAACATATTCTTTGGCCACAGCAATTCATGATAACATGGAATGTTTAGACCTACAGTGGTGGAAGAAATACCTACACCAACAAAATCATGGCTCTTTGAAGTATTTTCCCTATGTCTCTAAAACATAGGCATTGATAAGAGCATGGGCTGGGTATGCCAGCATACTCAGCCCATCCTCCATCAAGCCAGCATAGACCTGTTCTTTCCTGCTTAATTTTAATTTCTTTAATAGACTCAGAGTCCAAACAGTTCTGTCCATAAACCTTAATGTCACAACAATTAGTGATAAGAAAACCACAATGCTCTAAAACTACTTACAAGGACCAGTTAACAAGATTCCCAACAATAAGCAGCACCATTCTGTCCTGGGGGGATGGAAAAGGACATCATATCAGTTCATTATCATTCTGTTTTCTGCCCTATTATAAGGAAGGAAAAGCTGGAAGAAAAGTATTTCTGGGGTCCATGCATTAAACAAGCAAGCAAATTCTTCCCAAGATTCTCAAGGTGACTTCCCTAATACCGGTGAAGGTTTCATTTGATAGCCTCCATCAGACCAAACAGTGATAATCTGCATCACTGAAGATGAACAGGGGGTCAAGAAACAAAACTCAAGCAGTGACCAGGGAGGTAGCTGGGCTGGCCCTCTTCAGCTTCCTCGGTGTTGTATGATGGGTGACAAGTATCTAAAATAGTACAAAATTCTCCAGCTGCCATCACTATTATGTAACAGTATAGTGTATAGAATGAAGACTTTCCTGAGACCTTATTAAATGGCCCTCAGAACACATGTGAAGTACTTAAATAATTTTTCTTTGGTCTGGACCTGTGATTTCATTAGCATGAGGAACTCCTGGAGAAGGGTTCCTCTACCAGTGAAAATTGGGGAAGGGAAGGAGAAGAGAGTAAGCCTTTATATAGTGCCTACTATGTGCCATGCACTGTGTAAGTGCTTTACAAATAGAGTACCAAAAAGGGTATGGGACTCTGAGAGGTTAGTTGGCTTACCAATCATCACCCAGCCAATGTATGTTAAAGAAAGGACTCGAACCCAGACCAGCTCTCTATCCACTATTACATGCTGCCTCTTTAGAAAGCTCCATATCCTCCAGAGTACACTCAATTGTATTCTAATTTCATGGTGGCCCTTTCAGTTCCTTGTATTTTGGACATATGCTCCAGGCCCTGGCAGCATCTTGTGGTCAGAGCTAATTTGCTTGGACATTTTTCCTTCTTCTAGTTCAGCTTATTGAGTGTGGGGGAAGGGAGGGTGAATGAGAAGTCTCAAAACCCTTGCATATTTATTAAAATATGTTTTATTGATTCTTTTTGTTTTTACAACACAGTCCTTTCTAAATATCCCTGTCCCCAATTCCTGCCAAATGAGCCCTCTCTAAAGACAGAAAAATAGTTGAGCACACCCAATCGACATAGTGGCTGACCGTGTACTCAGCATTCAGCATTTGCAATTCCTCATCACTCTACCAAAGGTCATTTCTTGAAAGTTTGACACGTCACCAGTGTTTTTTAATAAGTTGTGCTTTTATAAGCTGTAAAGCATGACACAGATACAAGAGATGATGATCTTCATGATCACTCATTTATGGCTTAGAGAAGAGATTCTTCTTTTCCAGAAAGACCCCTCCCCACACCTCACCAGGGGGACCTGTTTTCATCTAAAAAAAATGCTTTTCATTTTTTTCCTCAGTTTTTCCCTCTTGTGCTCTATAGCCAGGGCTTTCCTTTACCCCAAAATTTGAAGGCTTGTGAACTTTGTGGGCCACCTCAGATTCTTTTTGAAAGCAGGCAGGGTATAAATCATAAATCAACCAAATCTCAAAATGTCTACGACTCTTTTTAGTGCTCTTTTCCTTATTCTTCCCCTAAAAAGCAAACACTAGCCTCATTTCCCTCTGCTTGTGCTTTCTTTTTGGTCCTAAAACCTTGTGCATGAGTCCTGTGAGATTCATGAGAATTTCAGACCCTGAACTGTCATTATTAGATTGTGAGCTCCTTGAGGGTGGGGGCTCTTTTGGCCTTTCTTTGTATCCTAAAACTTAGCACAGTCCCTGGCACATAGGAGGAACTTACTAAGTGCCTGTTGCCTAGACTTGACTTGTCAAGTCCTGATTTGATAGGCTTAAAGAAAAAAAGGCATGAGAGAAAAGCTAGAGGGAATGAGCAGTGACTCTTGTTCAGTTGCCCAGCTGATGGGCCCTCAGCTGCCCTAGGTCCTCTCTAGCTGTGTAACAGCAGAAGCATTTCATGACTGCACCAACCTGCTCTCCTCCCTCCCCTCCAGGTGGCTGATGCTGTACTTGCTGGCACAAGTCCAGGGGACATGAAGACTTCACCTACCATGTACAGCGGTCGGCTACACTGGTGGAAACAGTCAGTATAGAATACCATGGCAATCCGGCGGAAAATTCCCAAATCTGCTGACGACAAGAGAACATGCAAAGAGTCACCATCCAAAAAATAGCACTCACTCAGGCACTGAGTTATGACCCCCAAGGGCAGAGCTGATGGGGGGGAACCTTGCTGTAAGGCACAGGTTTGAGGGGTTTTTTAGATTATGTTAATTTTTGTGAGGAAAAGATGGCATCTTTCTTATATGCTATTTGTTTTTGTTTTGTTTTGTTTTTTGTTTTTTGGCTAGGCAATGGGGTTAAGTGACTTGCCCAGGGTCACACAGCTAGTAAGTGTTATGTGTCTGAGGCTGGATTTGAACTCAGGTCCTCCTGAATCCAGGGCCTGTGCTCTATCCACTGTGCCACCTAGCTGCCCCCCCCTTTTTTGTTTTCTTATATGCTGTTTGGATGAGCACCATATCCACAGTAGGGATTTAACCAGAGTTTGGTTAAAATAAACTATCTAGTCATTGGGCTGGTGTGGCATAGACTAAGACCACCCCTAGGTGTATTATAATGTGTAGTATAAAAGACCAAACAGAAGAAAGGGGAACTTTGGGGCAGCTAGGTAGTGCAGTGGATAGAGCACCGGTCCTGGATTCAGGAGAACCTGAGTTCAAATCCGGCCTCAGACATATAACACTCACTAGCTGTGTGACCCCGGGCAAGTCACTTAATCCCATTGTGTAGCCCACCCCCCCAAAAAAAAGAAAGGGGAACTTACTTTATCAGATAATACTTATAAACAGGAGGCAGCCAAGGCACAAGACAGCCTTGCCCGGCTGTTTTCTTTAGGCTGACTCCACATAATTTTTAGTTTTACTGGTAGTTTTTTACTTGTAGGAAGGGAATGGGACACCTTCTTCCTTAATCCGTACATCTGACCTTGTCCTCATGCCAATCTGATTTTTTTTCAAGTCTTATTTTCCCCCTAGTTGGGGTAGGAGATATTTTAACCTGTCTTTCTTATAGTGGTCATTATTCTTGGTAAGAGTTTACTCATGTAAGTATAGAAAACTCTATAGATCATGTAGAAAAAGCCTACACTTACCAGTCAACTGATTTTGGTTTGAAACAGAAATTCTATAGGATCGTAGACTTAGATGGGCAGCTAGGTGGTGCAGTGGATAGAGCACTGGGCCTGGAGGTAGGAAGACTTATCTTCCTGAGTTCAAATCTGGCTTCAGAAATTTACTAGCTGTGTGACCCTGGGCAAGTCACTTAACCTTGTTTGCTTCAGTTTCCTCATCTGTAAAAGAAGCTGGAGAAGGAAATAGCAAACCACTCCAGTATCTTTGCCAAGAAACCCTAAATGTTGAAATGACCGAACAGCAATAGACAGAGCTTGATGGGACCTATAAGATTATCTTGGTTAATCTCACTTTACAGAAGAAGAAACTGAGACCCAGAAAGCACACACAGGAAAATAAAAGAGGCTAGGATTTGAAACCAGGTCCTCTGACACCAATTCTAGTGCTTTTTCCCTTGTATCTCATGCTTGAGGTTAAAAGAAAAAAGGAGTATAAGCAAATAAAAATCAAGTCAGATGTGGAAGGAAAAGATAAAAAAGAAGTGGAAAAACTTGCAATGAAAGACATAGGAACTTGTTATGTACCCTCTTCATCTGACAGGGGTCCCAGTCTTTTGGGGTACCTCCTGGGTATTTGACAGCTTGGGCACAAGGTTTCTAAAGGAAGACTTTCACAGCAGCATGCTTCTTAAAGGAGGAAGGAGATCACTAAGTGACCTTTGCAGTTGAAGATTAAAATTATGAGGCAGCGGATGACAGGGGATCTGGACCTCACTACCACCCTCCATTACTGTGTGTTCCTCAGAAACTGCAGGTCCAATGAGAAGGGTAGTCCTTGTGCACCCCATACCTGGGGTCTGTCTTCCATGAGGTGCTTAGCCCATGGGGTGGTGGGAGGACTGTGTAGGACTCTGTGGGGAACAAGGATTCACTGGAATATCAGAGGGCTGTCCTGGTAGCATTCCAGGGGATAGCAAGTCAGAGAGAGAACTCTGGGAGCAATTAGAGCAATGTGATTATTGGTGACTTGGGGCAGTTGACCTCCCGGGAGTGCTGATGTAGTCAGTGCCTTATGCGCTTCCAGCATCCATTATGGGCTCTGTGAGTTCTTCCTTTTTTCCTTTCTTTTTTTTTTTTTTCCTGAATTTTCTGTAGGGTGAAATAAAGGTAACTTGAGTGCCAGTATGGGCCACCTGGGTCTGTTATTTACATTTGGGAAAGCCAAGACACAGGCCATATGTAAGCTACGTGGGGCAGCTAGGTGGCATAGTGGATAGAGCACCAGCCCTGGAGTCAGGAGGACATGAGTTCAAATATGGCCTCAGGTACTTCCTAGCTGTGTGATCCTGGGCAAGTCACTTAACCCTGACTGCCTCCAAAAAAAAAAAAGTAAGCTGTATAGGAGAGATTGTTCTGGAGTAACTCCAAGTGGGAGAAATGAGTCAAAGAAAGACAATAACCCTTTAGTATAGTCTGCAAAACTGAACTCTGGACCTTGGGCTACATTTTGCATTTGATTATCTGAGTCCATGTTGTTTTCTCCCAGCCAAATGTAAGCTCTTTAAGGGGGGGGGGGGTGAATATTATATTTCTGTCTTTGTATCTCCAGTACCTAGCAATCCCCAGTGCTTAATAAGTGTTTATTGAACTGAATTAGAAGTTGCTTCATCTACAAAGTGTAGATAATCACTCTTTATTGTACCATCTATCCCAGGATATACTGAGAATGAAAAGCATGCCTTTGTAACCCTAAAGTGCCATATGAGTGCCAGTTATTAGGATTTTCACTATCATTAGTCATAATAGTAAGAACATCCAAAAACTCTCACAAGGGAAGAGAATTTAAGTAAAATGTAGAAACAAGGAGGCATATAAGTAAAGTGATGCACAGAAGCCTGGATAGCTTCCGATAGCTTATCACCATTTAAAAAATTTTTAAAAATCAAGACAAAGAAGGTTGGGTCTAAATGACAAGCATTTTAACAGCTTTAGCTCACAAGGCATAAATTTTTACCTTCTGTGTTGTCTGTCTTCACTGAGCTAATTTTTGTTGTTCTGTCTTGTCAGGCTCGTCGTGAACCCATTTGGGGATTTTCTTGGCAAAGATACTGGAGTGGTTTGCCATTTCCTTCTCCAGCTCATTTTACAGATGAGGAAACTGAGGCAAACAGGGTTAAGTGACTTGCCCAGGTTCACACAGCTAGTACGTGTCTGGGGTCAGATTTGAACTCAGGAAGATGAATCTTCCTGACTCCAGGCCCACTGCTATCTCCACTGTGCCACCTAGCTGCCCATATTGAGCTAGAGAAAGTATTAAATACAAGAAGGTAGGGTGGGAATAGAACCACTGACAGACAACTGAGTAGTTTTTGTCCAGAAAAACTCTGTTCTGCTAGAAAGTTAGTCAATTAGGTGACTGAACCATTTCAGCCAGAGATTGAATTAAAACGCTAAGTTTGGTTCCTTGGTGTAGTTCCCCATTTCCAGTCATTTTATTGGCATCCTATGGACCAGGGCCATCTCTAGAGCGTGGCAATTCACAGCCATCATGCTGAGACCTGTGCTGCTCCAGGGGCCGAACAGCTGAAGCAGCCGGAACACTCAGATCAGAAGGGGGTGGGAAATAGAGCTTGCCAAGTAGGGTTACAAAACAAAACAAAACACATAATTCAGGAATGGCCTTGGTGTGGACACTGCCAACATCTGGCTGACTGTAATGTCAAATGTTAGAGTAACTAGGTCTTCACCCAAGCCTGGTGTGCTGTTTATGCCGTAGCTTTGGTGCGACGGGGTTGGTGGAGAGAAGGTTGGTTCTGGTCAGCCTGCCTGTGTGAGAGGCGAGCTGGTGCAAAAGCTTTACAGAAGACAGATGTTCTTTCTTTGACAGGGCATTTGTAGTAACAGATTCTCTTTGGGACTGACCCCAGGTATAATAGAGAGAGGGAGGAACAAAGGCTTTGGGAGCTGTCAACGACAGGGGGAAGCCACCATCTCCACATGTCCCTGCTTTCCACCTCGCTTCTCTAGAGACTTTGGAGAATTTCTCCTTGGGTAAGAATGGGGCCTATCTGCTGGTTTGGGCTTATCTTGTTCTCAGCAAAGAGTTTATTCACTCTTTCTTTCTTTCTTTCTTTCTTTCTTTCTTTCTTTCTTTCTCTTTCTTTCTTTCTTTCTTTCTTTCTTTCCTTCCTTCCTTCCTTCCTTCCTTCCTTCCTTCCTTCCTTCCTTCCTTCCTTTCTTTCTTTCTTTTTCTTTCTTTCTTTCTTTCTTTCTTTCTTTCTTTCTTTCTTTCTTTCTTTCTTTCTTTCTTTCTTTCTTTCTTTTTCCTTCCTTCCCTTCTTCCTTCCTTCCCTCCCTCCCTCCTCCTTCCTTCCTTCCTTCCTTCCTTCCTTCCTTCCTTCCTTCCTTCCTTCCTTTCTCTCTCTCTCTTTCTTTCTCTCTCTTTCTTTTTCTCTTTCTTTCTTTCTTTCTTTCTATCTTTCTTTCTTTCTTTCTTTCTTTCTTCCTTTCTTTTTCTTCCTTCCTTCCTTCCTTTCTTCCTTCCTTCCTTCCTTCCTTCCTTCCTTCCTTCCTTCCTTCCTTCCTTCCTTCCTTTCTTTCTTTCTTTCATATTCTAATCCGTAGGACTTTTCCACCTTTTGTTGTTGTTGTTGTTTGTTTGCTTTCTGCATGGATATGACTTTACTTTCTTTTAGCTAGTTCTGATGGTCTTTTGTGTAATCTGAATTTGGTGGAGGAAAGTAGCCAAGCTGGTGGGTGTAATTCTGAGGCATTCCTCACTCTTTAAGTTAACTCCAGGTTAGCTGCTTTTTGTTTTAAACGAAAATCATATCCCTAGACCAGCAATATTTGGGAGACAAATAGATCTCATTCTAGTCCAGTAACCTTTTCAGAGATAGGAGGAAAGAACCATCAGCCTCATGGCTATTCTTGGGCCTCTCCCAAGGCAGGAATCACAGTCTGTTTTGGAAAGGAGTGGGCAATATTCCTCCTCTCTCTATTCAATGCCTTTCTAAAGCTCTTGCCCCAAATCTGCCCCTCATGCAGATCTGCAGCCTAGCCTCAGCGTTTAACACTGACTCAGAGCTGCATTTAAGTAGTAACATGACAAATGTGTCAGATTTGGGTCAAATCCCAGTTATTTCAGCACTGACGAAAAGCAGCATGGTGTGATGGAAAGAACACTGGATTTGGAGGCAAAGGACCTGAATAATCTTGGATAAGTAATATTTCACCTTCAGGTCTCAGTCTCCATATCTGTAAAATGATAATGCTGGGCTAGATGATCTGCAAAGTTTCTTCCACTTCTAAATCTACGATCCTGTAAAAGTGGCCTTTGGAATGAAAACAAAAAGAGCAAAACAAACAGAGAAGTGACATGACACCTCAGGCTCTTTACCGTCCTTTCAGTAACAGAAGTTGTAGTCTGCCTGTCCGTCTCTCTGTACTCTCTCTCTCTCTCTCTCTCTCTCTCTCTCTCTCTCTCTCTCTCTCTCTCTCTCTCGTCTCTGTCTGTCTGTCTCAAGTGCACTAGGCAGATATTCATCCCCACCAAACCCACCCCAAAGTGCATTCAAAAACATTGCTAATGGCAAAAGCAGGGGCACTTTTATTACGAACGTTTTCTAAGAACCCCAAGAAGAGAGAACAGTTCATCATTACCTGTGTCAGACACATCTGAATCAGGGGAAGCAGTGGAGGGAAGAAAAAAATGGTTTGTGAGAGTGTGTCCAGGTTGACACATTTGACTACATAGAACACTCAGAGTTTGGTATTCCCTTGGAGTGAATAAAGATTGGTCTCTCTGTTCTCCCACTTACATAGACTCAAATGATACAATACATGTGTTCTCTCTTGGAGTCTATTTTCAACTCAATGCCTAGGGAGAGAGTGAAGAACCCGAGTAGTGCTTTCTGTGGAAGGGCACACATCTTCAAGTCCATTTAAAAAACTTCCAACCTATTATTTTCTGTGTTCTTATGCTCTACTGGTTCACATTTTGAGTACCTATCCAGAGAGTTTTCAAGGGAAGGAGCATTTGGACTGAAAGTAAAGCTAAGTTAGTCACAAAATAAGGCTAGATTTGCCTGAGCATCTATGATCCAATCAACATCTTCTTGGCCTTGGAATGAATTCAGATGAAGTCAATGCTGTGCTGCACAACACTCAGAATTTCCTTTTTTTTTACTTTTCCATATCTTTATCCATCTGGAAAAACCCCCATGATAATAAAAATGAGTAATATTTGGCCAAATACTTGATCCTGACATAAATAGCTCAGTTCCACCCTGTTTCATTTCTACAGGCATACATACATGAGACAATGGTGCGTGCCACATAACAAAATGTCTTGGAGGTAAGAATTGGGAAACAGATCACCTCCCTGCATAAATGGCCTGGATTCATCCCAACAAACAGGTTGACTATGTACCAGGTGCTTCCAATGACAGCACCAGCCTCCGAGGGACAGCTTTGTAGGTGCAACAGATATTAAAATTAAAGGCTATGTGCTGGCTGAGGACAGAATTACCTAGTTTATAAATTGATTTTTTTTGGCTGAATAGGGGTTTCTATCTGGATCAGAACCTACTGACATAAAAGCTGTTTCCTAAAGCAGTGGTCTGCAAAGAGAGAGCTGTGAAGCTATTGTGGATAACGGCATGACTCCAAGGCATAACTTACCGGAGCAGGGTGTGAGGTCCCTTTTTAAACTATGACAACCATTAAAATCAAATATAAAAATAAACTGAACTTAGAACCAGACTTTCAAATGTACATAATTATTAGCAGAGTAGTAAATGTATATAATATATGTAGAGTATGAATAAGTAAACATATACACATAGGCAAACAGGCACATATATGTACGTACATATCTATATATACACATTGAGAGGGAATGCAAAAATTTTTTCTAAAAAGGAAGCACTGTCAAAAAGATTGGGAGATTGCTGATTTAAAGAAGAACTGATAAAACTCAAATACATTTGTGAAATATAAACAAATGTACATGTGTGACAAAAGGGTCACCATCTGGATGCCCACAGTCCTGAAGAGAATATAAGCTATCATATTACAACACAAATCTAGTTTATTGAACCTACTAATTAGTTTCAATTTTGCTTTCACTTGGTATAAATGAGTGAGCAAAAGGGAAACATTAATTTCTTTTGGAAAAAGAGAAGTGACCTACCTATTTTGAAGCGGCCCATATAGTAGATCTGTGTGCTGAGTGCAAGGGATGCCAGAATGTGGATCGCAGAGAAGATAACCCAGAACCATATATCATTTTTTCCAAACAACTGTAAATGAAAAGGAAAGTCACCTCTATCTGAGCTTCAGGTTTTTGCCTACGAAGCCAATTAAAAACTCTTTGACTCAGTGAGATGTCCCACTATTGGACAACAAAGAGGTCAGACAAGAAAAAAAAAGTCTCATATATAGTAAGATATTTATAGTGGCACTTTTTGTAATAGTAAACAACTGAAATCAATGTAGGTTCCCATCAACCCAATCGATGCAAATAAAGTAGGATATTTGAATGCAATGGTACCATCTTGTTGTTGAGTCATTTCAGTCACGTCCAACTCTTTGTGACCCCATTTTGGGGTTTTCTTGGTAAAGATACTGGAGAGGTTTGCCATTTTCTTCTCGAGCTCATTTTACAGATGAAGAACTGAGGCAAAAAGAGTTAGTGACTTGCCTAGGGTCACACAACTTGTAAGTGTCTGAGATCTGATTTGAACTCACCAAGATGAGTTGCCCAGCTGCCCTGCTATGGTATAATAAGAAACCGCAAACATGAGGAATTCAGAAAAATTTGGGCTGGCGTTTGAATAAGCTGAAACAAGTTAGTACAATCAGGGCTTGCTATACAATGGCTCCAATATTCAAGGGATATGTGATCTCATCAATTCTGACATTCCCTACAATGATGCAGATTAAAACCCATCCATACCTGCCCATCCTGTGTGACTCTTATGCATGTGTTCCCATAAGTTTGCCACCTGGGGTTCATCCAATGGGCTAAAGGCTTTCTTCCAACATCATGAAGATAGTAGTGTATGTCTCAAGTTGTTTACCTGTCATATCTTGCCATCACCACATGACCAAACCATATTCTTTTTCTATCACAGAGCTTCCTAATGGTATATTTTTATGTTGTTCTAAATCAAAGCTTTTAAAAGTAAGATTATAAACCAAAAATAAGTACCGTACATCTTTTAGTCAGCTGTGTGATGGTAAAAATGTGGTTCACTTCAGAATACTGTTTGCAAAAATCTGCTTGTTCCCTACCAATACCCTCATCAAGGATGTTCTTGATGTGGTATGGAGATAAATCTCAGATAGGAAAATGGGCACAGAGATCAACAGTTGTTATCTTTTTTTTGGGGGTATTATTAATGTGAAAAATTTCCCACCCCTTTGGTATCATATCCACTTTCATAGTGTTGTTGACAACAACAACTTTCATCTATTTTGTGAATCATTCCCTTAATGACCTTAAAATTGTGTCACCTCTAGCATAGGTTTCCTCTGTTTGTGGTCTTCTTTGGCCTCTTTCCCCATCTTGTTATTTTTAGTGCCATTTCCACTTCACTTATAATATGATGTTAAAATCCAACTGTAGTTGCTCTGCTTCATAGTGAAAATAGTTTATTATGAAATCTTTGTATCTTTTTCCATTTCTCTCTTTTTTGTTGTTGTTGTCGTCTTCCCCTTTCATCCTTAAACGCCCTTAAGGTGATGTTGCTTAGTTGGGTCTCTTGCCAATATTTCTTTTAATTGATTTTACCCTCCATTACTTTTCTTGCTCTTTGAGGCAATACTACTTATAAACTTCCATCATCTTTCTTTATAAGATTTGCAAACAAATGTATAGTCTAAACCAGCGTTGCTTTTGGCCCCCATCTATCTCTTCTTGGCAAATAAATAAAATCTTTGCAGACTAAGCTGATTTTTAAGCTGTTTTGATTTTCCTTGTTATGGCAGTTGATTTATATCAGTTACACTTCTGTATAAAACCATTTTAATTGACATCGATGTCTTTTATACTGTCCATTATCCATTTCTGGTATCGATTACTTGTTTAAATAGGTCAGGTTGGAGTTGTTTCAATTGCATGTAATATATTCCCATTATTAGTATTTCTTCTAGCTTTATACTAATTCTGATATTTTCTTTAACAAGATGGTGGTTTGGCTGTACAAAGACAACTGATTTAAGGATGACTCACACACCAACAAGGAATGAATCTTTCCAGTCTGTTAAAATATAGCCATTTTCATTTTTTGTTATATTATTTAGTGTCTGCCATATCTAGCACCTACTAATTTTTCTTGACTAAAGTAGTCATGACAGGGATGTGAGGCTTCTACAAGTCTTTGACCTTTCTTGTTCCTTCTTCCTGATCAATGCTTTCTGAAATATTTCTCTTACCATTCTTCTCTATTCCCACCATTTCAACAAAGACATGAAGTATTAAAGTGCATGGTGATTTAATTTGGAAGGTCTTAACAAGTTTGTTATAGAATTTCTTTACCTGTTCATCCTTTGCAACTGATATTAGTGTGCAAGCTGCAATTATGAGTACTGCAGTATAAGATAACTAATTATCCCATGAAATGATGTTTTTGGGCTGTTTTTGGGCAAATGATACAACTAACTCTGTCAACTCCTTTTTTTCTCCTTCAAGGAGTGCCTATGAGCTATCATTCTATTTAGTTAAAATTTCCTTCTTCTGGTTTAATTTTTAGTAAGATTTTCAGATTGATATGATGAAGTTTCTCCAGTATCATCATAAACAAGCATTTATTAAGCTCTTACTGTATGTTCAGCACTGACTATGTTAAGCAAGCGCAGATGATAGAAAGTCAAAAATATGGTCCCTGCTCTTGAGGAATTAAAATTCTTTTTTCTTTAAAAAAATTATTTTAAACTTAAATACATAACAGAAAAAAAGAAACATTATAAACGTACATACTAAAACTTAAATACAAAATAAGAGAAGAAAAAAAAAGCATGGCCGTGTGCACAGCAGAATGTAAGAGAGGGTTCAAAATATACAGCAATAAATTTCCATTTGAAAAAATACATAATAAATAAGTAATATATAATAAATACTACACATTGTACTCAGAACTGTCCATCTTCTCTTTGCTTCCTTGTAAATTTTCTTTTGTTCTCTACTGTGCACTTTTTACTTTGTTCTTTTTCCCCCCTTTCTCCTCCCCTCCCCCATGAAGGCTACAATGAAGCATGTATATACATATATTATACATACATTCATACCTATCAAATATACATACATATATATCACACATACACACAAACTATATATAATATACATAATATACACATACATATATACATACATATATATACTTAGATATCTATAATCATGCTCACATATGGACATATACATTCATATGTATCTATGTAAAACTACTATACTTGTTTGTCCTCTGTTTCTCTGAGAGTGGATAATATCTTCCTCCATAAGTCCAAGTCTTTCCATATTCTTCTAAGTCCACCAACTCATCATTTCCTATACCACAGCAATATCCCAACCTAATACTGTCTAGTTATTTTAAGTAGTCTAAAACAATATTGATTAATATGGCTGATATATAGTGTATTTCCCCTATTTTTCTCTTTTGATTAAATCTATTTTAGCTTTAACTTTGTCTGAGATCATGATTACTACTCCTACTTTTTTCCCTAATAAATTCTACTCTTGAACTTTATTTAATGTTTGTGTATATTTCTTATTTCCTCTCCCTCCTGACTCCTCTACTTTACTTCTACCTGCTACCTTGCCCTCATATTACTTAACCTACTCACCCCTCCAAAGATCCCTCCCTTATCCTCTCCCACCTTTTCCCATTATCCTCTTGTTCCTATTTGAAGTTAGAAGACTTTTATAGCCTTCCAAATATATATGTCATTCCCTCTTTATCCCATTCTCTTAGATAGGGTTCCAGAACTACCAGCCTTCCTCCCCCTACATAATTCCTCTGTGACAATTTTTCCTCTCACACCTCATTTGTGGAAGATAATTACTCTTTTTACCTTTTCCTAGATGGTTTTACTTTTTAGAATCATATCATACTCAGCTCTACCCTAATCGTTCTTTCAAACTACTCAATGACTAATAACAATCTTAGACATATAGTTTATATTTCCTCGTATAAAAAGTAAACAGTCTGTCCTTATTGAATCCCTTATAATTAGTCTTTGATGCTTACCTTATATTTCTCTTAGATCTTGCATGTCAAATTTTCTGTTGAGTTCAGGTCTTTTTGCAATAAAATCCTGAATGCCTGGCAATTCATTAAATATTCATTTTTCATTCAGCATTGTGCTTCTTTGCTGGGCATGATATTTTCGGCCACAGCCCTAGTTCTTTTGCTCTTTGATATATAGTGTTCCATGACTTACGGGACACTATGGTCTTTTAGTGTCACTGCTTCCAGGTCTTATGTGATTCTAGGAACTAAATTCTAAGGGGGCAGACAACATGCAAACAGCTATATATGTGTTTGTGTGTGCATGTATGTGTGCATGCATACACACACACACACACATACACATATAATGTAGACAAGGTAAATGGGAGGTAATCTCAGAGGGAGATGAGTCTGGTAGCTGGTCAGTCATTGGGATAAGGGTCTCACATTTACAATGCCAATAGTTAAAGTTTATAGATATTCTAAATCTGTGTGATTCTTAGGCCTCTTTGCCTCCTTTTCCACTTCACTGCAGAAGTGGAAGTGGGTTGTGCAGGTCTGAAGGCCATTTTGTATTTGTCTTTATTTCATGGGTTACCATGGTCTAAGAATTCACTACCAAGCGACCAGTCTACTGGTAAAGAGACTCTGTACTTAGCTAGGCTGCTCCTTGGAAAGCAGATTTAGTCTATTGCCAGGTCAATATTTAAGCTTTTACAGCATGGTGGAACCTGCTAGAGCTTACTCTTTGGTGGCATAACCTTTGAGAGCTTAGGGTTGCCTCCAAGTGCAAAAGAGGCATGGGGATTCAGACTTGGTGGATGACCAGAATGGTCTAAATGAAAACAAAACTAAGAGGTGGTGTGACTACTTCTTGGAAGATCTTGTGGGAGTCCCTTAGCACAGTATGCCAGATAAGTAGGCCACACCTTCTTCCTCTACAGAGAGCAGTGGGACTCTACAGAGGGTGTTCTGTAAGAAGCTGAGAGAATGCTGGGAGGAGCAGTTGTTTTTATCAGTTGATTTTGTTAGAATGACTCTTCTTTCCTTTTTTTTTTTAACAAGGGTTGGGTTATGTATATTGGGAAACAAATGGCGGGTGTAAAAAACAAAAGGCATCAATAAAACTTTGTAAGGAGCCATAGTCATGGAACAGAGGATCTCATCCAGTAACCACAGAATCAGGGTCTTATAGATGCAGAGTTAGATGGAACCTAAAGGAAAGCTGAGCTTCGAGATACAGGCCACAACACTGACTGTCTGAGTGGCCTTGAGGCAATTCTCTTAACTACTCACTGATCTGTAAAATAGATATAATAATCCTGTTCCTCTCATTTGAAAAGGATATGTTAAAAACAAGATTAGAACTCTAATATGATAAAGTCACTTAACCCTGTTTGCCTCAGTTTCCTCATCTGTAAAATGAGCTAGAGAAGGAAGTGGCAAACCACTCCAGTATCTTTGCCAAGAAACCCCAAACAGGGTCATGAAAAGCAGACATAATTGAACGCATTGAAGGAGATTTGTACAGAGTTTAAAAGTAGGTTGATAGGGACTCTTTGGGTGATTTAGGATCATTGAATGGCAAGAAGGCAGTTAGTGCAATAGAAATAACGTTGGATTTAGGCTTAAAACCACAACCCTCCTGCAGGAGTGACCTTGGTCAAATCATTTAACTCCTTTAGGCCTAAATTTCTTCATCTGTAAAAATAGGGAGTTGGGCAAGATGATCTCAGAGGTCCTTTCCAACCTCAAATCTGTGTTCTTTCTGGTACAACTCTCTTATTACAGATGAGGAAACTGAAGTCCAGAATGATAAATGATTCTACTAAAGTAATACATCTTCTGATTAGAGTTGGAATCTGGTCTAGTTCCCCCAATCTGTGTGTAGGTCACCGTTTCACTCTTGTCTTAATGTCATGAGCCTCTTTTTCCAAAAATGAGATTAAGACAGACATACCACTCCAAGGACAGTCAGACAGATGACCACAGCAAAAGATGCATAGGCAGAATAGGCACTGGCATTGATGTCAGGGTGGCGGGTCTGATAGAGCTTCAGCATGCAGAGTCCTGCAATCATGTACATGAAGGAGGTGTCTGGGGAAACAAGGTGAGGCACACAGTATTCATTCATATAGGGACTTATGTTCTGACTTCTTTTATCATTACACTCCTACCTCTGGGTTGTCCCTTACTTAATACCCCCTGGAGCACCACCTGGTATCTTCACGCTATGATTTGGCTAATCAGAGATTCCTTCTCCCCCATCCTCACTTCTGTTCTCCTGACAGACTCTTATATTTCAAATGATACTTCCTTCTCTACCATAACTCACTCTTCTCTGGTCCAACAAAAAACTTCCCAATTCCCTTAGGGGGCACATCTCAGTTAAACTAATTTGTAACAAAATATGAATAAATGGTCATCCCCACTTAATGCTATCTCTTTGCAGGTATATTTTCATTTATTTTTAAGTTAAAATTTATTTTTTTTCAATCAAAAATTTATCCTCTTCCCCCCACCCCCACCATTGAGAAAGAAAAAAAATCCTATTACAAACAAATTCCTATATTAGCCATGTTCAATATATATATATATTATATATATAATTATATATATATGAATTTCAATCTGCATTCTGAGTCCATCAACTTTCTGTTCAGATGTGGGCAGTATGTTGCATCGTGAGTTCTCCGGAATCATGATTGGTCATTATGTTGATATGAGTTCTTAAGTCTTTCAAAATTATTTGTCTTTACAATGTTATTGTTATTGTGTAAATTGTTCTCCTGGTCCTGTTTACTTCACTCTATATCAGTTCATACAAATCTTCCCAGGTTTCTTTGAAATTATCCCTTTCATCATTTCTTACAACACAATAGTATTCCATCACATTCATATTCCATAACTTGCTCAGCCATTCCCCAACTGATGGACACCCTCTAGGTTTCCAATTCTTTGCTATCCCAAAAAGAGCCATTACAAATATTTTTGTATATATAGGCCCTTTTCCTCTTTTTTTTAAAATTTCTTTGGGTATAAACCTAGTAGTGGTTTCACATCAAATGGTATGCACAGATTACTAACTTTTGGGGCATCATTCCAAATTGCTTTCCAGAATGGATGCACCAATTCATAGTTCTACCAGTAGTGTATTAATGTACCTATTTTCCAACAGCATTTGTCATATGTCTTTTTTGTTAACTTTATCAATTTGATGGTGTGTGGTGGAAACTTGGAGTTATTTTAATTTTCATTTCTCTACTTATTAGTAATTTAGAGCATTTTTTTAGTATGACTATCTGAGCTTGGGATCCTATTTACACTTAAAATGGGTTTTATTAATCTAAAAGAATGACTCTCTAATAGTTAAACTTCAGGCAGTATATGAAAGTGAAATGAATTTCAGGTAATATGAGGGAGATATTTTTTGGGTTCAAGTGTCTTCTTGGCATTTATTTAAATCCCATCAAGAAACTATTGTCCACATAACATACAGAGCATGGCCACAGGACCAGACTGTTAATCCTACTTCGACCATGCAGTCCTTCAAAGTTTAGAGTCACTGAAGTAACTCTTTCAAGGCCCTTCTTGTTGCATACTCTGGCTTCTGTCCTAGCACTTAATTCATGCTAATCAACCAGAACAGTCAATTAGCAGAACCATTAGTATTTGTTTAGCATTATCTCAGAGGATGCAAGTAGAGACTAGGAAAAGCAGCTACATAGGAGAAGGATGCCCCTCTACTATGTGCTCTTAGGTTCCTTCATCATTGAAAAGAAGGCATTAAATCCTTTGGCAGATCCATGATTATTTGTGGATGTGGCCTCCCCAGATGTAGACTACAGTCCCCCCAGAGCTATTCATACCATGTGATTCTCGTTTGTGACTTTCAATAGAAGATATTCTCAATGTCAATCAATCAATCAATATTTAGTAAGCACCTACTCTGTGCTAGGCACTGTGATGTGCTAGAGTTCTTTCTGTGGCTCTTTTAATATTTCATAGATTGACCAGTATGGCACTCAGGCTGCCTATCTGTTATTCTCACAGAGGGGTCTACTTCATTTCCAGGTCATAATTGCCTTTGATGATATTTTTTATGCCACTTCTCACCCATAAGTCTTCACAAGTAATATTCTGCTTACATCCACTACGTATCATTTGATCCCCCTTTGGTCCACCGACAATTTTCATTCTTCTGAGATCAAGATATTCCAGGATGTGTAGCCATATAGCATTACTGGAAAAATAGCGTTGGTAAGAAGATGCAGTTTGGGGGTCAGTGAGCCACAGGAATAAGTTCCCCAATGTAAGCCAGTGTAATCTCTAATTTCAGGCTGGGTAAGACTTATATAACTATGTATATATGTGTATATGTATATCCATATGCATATCTGTGCTTGTGTGTGAGTGTATGTGTCCTTTTATGAATTACCTGTATGTGAGTGAATGTATTCTTTTATGGGTTACCTGTTGCTGGAATTTCAAATGAAGTTAATCCATTTACTCCACCAGCACATATGTATAAATACATAGATATGCATGTACATTCACATTCACATACATGCACATATAAACACACATGCACATATGAACATGTATCCGTATCCAAATAGGCATGTATGCATACGCACTGGTGGACTAAATGGATCATTTCATAATTCCAGCAACTGGTAACCCATAAAAAGACATTAATTTTTGAAAAAGTGACTCTAATGCTCTTTTTCATGGTCTTAGGCTCGCTTTCCTATAATTCCTATAATTATGTAGTTGTTACAAATTCTGATTACCAAACTGGAAGTTGGAGTAATTAGGACAGACATGGTAGCAAGCACTGAGTACTCCTTCCATCATCAGAGCAATGCCCATAGCATAGAAAAGGCCAAAGTGTTTGGGAATCCCATATTCCTAAAAGAAGAAAAAATGTGGTAAATAGAAAAATACTTGTAATCCCTGATATATTTTTAGAATATTACACCCCTATATTCATGGTATCATGGAGCCCATTATTCCACACTGTAATGGGTCCATAAAACATGGTGCTCTTTCTCTAGCCATTGCCTTTACTTGATCCTTTGATCCTCCCAACCAGCCCAACTCCAATTCCGGCATCATCCCTTTACCATTGCAAAGATGTCTTTAGCTTCCAATGATCTTCGGTGGAGGATGTCCTTACGCAAGACTATCAGAAGGAAGAGGAAGCCCAGAAGTACATGACCAAGGTTACTGAGGATGTTGTTGAAGGCACTGTGGGGAAGAGGAAATGTTAATACAAATGCAAGAAATTCAATGAATGAATGAATGAATGAGTCCAGCCCTTTCAACTGCAGCCTTTTACTAGGATTTGAGAGCTGCATGGGAACTTAAGAAATCCCCAAGTACAAACCCCTCATTTTACAGATAAGGAAACTGAGGACCAGAAAGATGAAGTAACTTATCCAAATTACTATTTTTAACAGAACCAAAACTGGAACCCAGATATTTTGACTCCCAACCCAGTACTGCTTCTACTATACTAAAAATGGTCTCCATTTTACCTATAGAAGTCACAAAGATTTAGTCAATCACAGCTGACATGGAGAGTCACAGTTCCCAGTTCATCACAATGTATAGATATCACAACAATATTTATTCATTCAGTTATTCAGAAAACACTTGTACTAACCTATGGTGGTATACTAAGTGTTGAGGAAGATGCAAAGTTTAAATAAGACATAGTACCTTGCTTCCATAGAGCTTATAGTTTGGTGGGGGATAAAACCCAAACTCAGAAAACTATAACAGCAATTATTACATAAAAGTGCATTGGATAGGTTCAAAACAACATGCTTTGTGAAGTTGGAGGATGAAATTTGTTACCACTGGGCCGATAATGGAAGGCTTCATGGTGGAGGTGGCATGGAGTTGGGCTTTAAAGTACAGGTAGGAAGTCAGCAGATGACAAAAGGAAGGGATGATATTCTGAGCAGAGGGTACATTAGACACAAGCACATGCTTGTGAGCAAGCATAGCGTAGGTTCAGGAGGACAAAGATTAGACCAATTTGGCTAGAGAGGAGCTAAAGTTGTGTAAGGAAGACAGAAATTTTGCTAGGTAAAGGAAAAATGTCCAGTTTCATCGTCTCCACATGTTCCTTTTCTAGTCTTGCTTCTTTGTTGATTAACATGGCAACCAAAAGCATGGTGAAAGATGAGAAGAATCTGCTCACCCTAATTCCGCAACCTCCTTTGCAGTTGTGCTAAGTGGAATGCCAGTGATATCAAGAAAATCCAAGTGAGTGAACCGGGGTATTAAAAGGAATTTCAGACCATAACTTAGGTAAAAATTTAGAGTAAGAGACCAGATAGCAAGAGAAAAGAATTTCAAAAAGCCAGATTCAATCTAAGCCTGAAGGCTTCTGTTGGCTTTTGCTGGCTGGCTGGCTGGATAAGTCCTCTCCTTGCTGGGGAGGTGGATACTATTCAGCAGATGGTGGCAGAAGGCAATGGAGTTGAGATCAGTGGAGATGCTTAGCAGAGAGCTACAGCAGCAACAGAGAGGTGTATTCCTTATGTATGTGCCCTTTCAGGCATGTTTCTTGGTCGTGTGTGTTTCATAATCATGTTTCCTTCCATACATATTCCATTCTCCACTGATGGTATGGTAACTTTTGACAGTGTGTACCCCTGTGTATATAAAAGAACTTTCTTATCACTTATATTGCTATGATATTTGATTTAATGTCTTTTGCTGTGGAACTGTCATCTTGTTGGTCTAATAAAAGAAACAAAAGGGTGGGGATTGTGATCTGTGGTTATGAGTGGATGCTGACTCATAGAGTACTTTAAACCTGAGGTAGAATGATGGGGGACCCATGTATTAAGGGCCTCTGGGTATTATATTTTTTGGGGGGGAGTTCTTGTTGGCCAGTAGTAATTGTCATTGTCTATTATTGTAGTTATTATAAAACTATATAGCACTTTTACTGGCTTGCAAACCATTTTCCATACATTACCTAATATGTTCCTCACACTAACTTTGGGAGGTAGGTAAGGGTAAGGACTGGATCTGTGAATTTCATTGGTATGAGGAACTCCCAGATAAGGACATTCCCTCTACCAGTGAAGGTGACCACCTTCTCTGCAACTTAGTCTTAAGGAAATGCCTCTCTGTGGGGCAGGTACTATAGATATTACTCCCATTTTATGGATAAAAGAAACTAAGGCTCAGAGAGTTTATGACTCATTTATGGTTTTTGTTGCTTCAGTCATGTCAGACTCTTCATGACCCCATGTGGGGTTTTCTGGGCAAAGATGCTAGAATGGTTTGCCATTTCCTTCTCCAGATCATTTTACAGATGAGGAAACTGAGGCAAACAGGGTTAAATGACTTGTCCAGGGTCACCCAGCTAGTAAGTGTCTGATGCTACATTTGAACTCATGAAGATGAGTCTTCCAGACTCCAGGACCAGTGCTCTATCTGCTGTGCCATTACACAGCTAGCAATTGTTAGAACTGAGATTTCTATCAAGGGCTCCTTGACTGCAAGGCCAGCACTCCTTCCACTACCCTACGCTGACTATGTGAGAATGACGTGAAAAATACGTATATTATATGCTGTGGCTAATTTGACCCGTACGGAGATGTGTGGGGAGGAAGACACAGCATTTTCTGTATTATTTAAAGTGTCTGAAACAATGTGACATTCCAGCATCCTTAAAGAGATGAAGGTTGAGGGGGATTTCTAGATGCCAGTTACTAGTCACCTCCCCCCACCCCCAACACATAGGCACTACAGAAGAGTGGATTGTGAGAAGACCTAAAACAGTCCTGGAAAGAGAAAGTCGGACTGAAAAAAAAATTAAGTGCCTGCTAGAGAGGAAGATAATAGCTGCACTAGGTGGATGGAGAACAGATAGTATTGCAAATAGAAGAGACTCACTTTGAGAAGCCTTTTCAGGGAAGATGCCTTGCTCATCACACAAGGTTGAATCCCAGCTAGAATATGCCACTAAAATAATACACAAGTGGCAGAGGACAGCTGATGGAAAGTCTTAGGGGTTCTGCTTTTGATCTCACGTATTCCCTGAAAATGCAGAACCCGGAGGTACCAGGATTGAAGAAGCTGGGTGGAGATTTTGGTGGAATGGAGATGGAACATGAAGGTTTTGTCCTACTTCTCCACAGCAGCCAACAACATTGTTATTCCCCAAAGGCAGGAAGGTGGTTTGGGGACAGCTTTTGGAGGGCCTTGCAGGCTAGGCAATGAAGTCTGAATGTCATTCAATAGCTAAACAGGATCACAGATCTGGACCTGAAAGGGACATCTAGACCAGCCCCCTCATTTTACAGGTGAGGAAACTGAGGTCCAGGGAAGTTAAATGACTTGCCCAAAGTCACACAGCTAAAAGAACCCAGGTCCTTTGATGCTAGGGCCAATGATCTTTCTTTCCACTGTAGCACATTTATCTGATGTTTTTAAAACATTACATTATTCTCAGGTTATTATTATCATTTCCTAGGCCAATGGCATTTCAAAAATGTCTAGAGATGAAAGGAGCTTTCTGATCCTATCTGCTAGATTCAGTTATTTCAGTGCTGGAGCCCCTCTCCATCATCCACTGCTGCCTTGTTTCCACAGTTTCCCACAGCTGTTCTGGCTATTAAGAAAAATATGTCACTGAGATTAAATAGAGGGGTGTCCTAAAATGCCACTGGTAACCCAGAGGAAACCATGTTTACCTAAGGACCCCCAAGGGATGGGCACAGAGGAAGTTGTAGTAGCAGATGTCCTGATTGCCAGTCACATTCACAACCTAGAAGGTGAATAAACAGAAAATGAAACTCAATTGTGCTCAGCCCCTCAAGTCAAGCCCAGCACCATGCAGAGCTGGTACAGCTTACAAAGACGGAAGGTGAATGATTTACAGTCGTGCCAGCTCCCAGAAGCAGCAGGCAACACATCATTATACTGTACAGCTTTATAGGGCAGAGGCAAATTTCTCATTATATTTCACAGTCTTGCATTGAAGGGAAATATTATTTATATGTTCTCACTCTTATCCCACTTCCTCAAAATGGAATTTATGACTAGCAGCAGTTTTCCCTCTGCTATAATATACCATTATTGTCATTATTTTGTAATATAAATAGCTGATAAAAATTGAGATTGGCAACAGGCTTTTTTACGGCTAATATGTGATGTCCTGCTTTTCTCTTCTGTTCTGGAAGGAAGAATGGTCTTTATCCTCTGAGCTGAAATAAAAACGCTAGGTCAGTAAATGGAATATCACCAGATTTAGATCTGGAATGGCCCTCAAAGGTCATCTGGCCCAACATTGTCATTTACAGAGTGAGTCTGCTGAGGCTGACAGAGTTTGTGACTTGCCCAAAGATATACAAGTAGTAAGGGGAAGAGCCAGGATTCAAACTCAGGTCTCCTACCTCCAAATCCAATGCTTTTTCCACTGTACTCTGCAGATATCTGATAACCTGTCTCAGTTCACGATCATCTCTGTGAGCAGCCACCCACTTGTACAAAGCATTTGGCTAAGTGTGATTCCCCCACTTCTGCAGTACATGTGAAATAGGCCCTGACGTTATCTAGCAGTTTACACTGTTTTGAGAGGTAACCAAATCAATGGGGAAGGAAGGGAGGAGGTGGGGGGGGGGAGCGAGGAAAGGAAAGAAGGGAAAGAGAGAGGGAGAAAAGGAAGGGAAAGAAGGAAAGGAGGAAGAAAAGAAAGGGGAGAAGAAGGAAGGGAGGAAAGGAGGGAGAAAGAAAGGAAGGAAGGAATGTAGGAAGTAAGGAGGGGCAGAGGGAGGGAAGGAGGGAAGGAAATAAGAATTTATTAAGTACCTACTTTGTGTCAGGCACTGTGCTGAGCACTTTACAAATATTATCTCATTTGATCTTCACAATAATTCTTTGGGGTACATGCTATTATTATCTCCATTTTATAGTTGAAAGAACTGAAGTAGACAGAGGTTAAGTGACTTGTCCAGGGTCCCACAGCTAATATGTGTCTGAGGCTAAACTTTAACTCCGGTCTTCCTGACTCCAGGCCCAGTGCTCTATCTGCTGTACTACCTAATGAGAAAAAAAATGAGAAAACTTTCTCTAATGAGAAGATAAGTATTGCATTTCTGCTGAGCACACAGTGAAATGTTGCATCTTCCAAGCTCCTGATAAACCTGCTTATTACCAATTCTCATCACCAGACAGTGGCCTTTGCATTTTCTATTCTGCATTGAGTCAGTGAAGAACAATCTCTTACACGTACATTTAAATTCCAGGGAAGACTGCTGAAGTCTTTTCTAGAAAAATAAATAGCTAAATAAATAAATAAATAAGCTAACTAGAGTCTCCAGGGGCGCTCATAGCCCTAGTATCATCGAACTGGACCATTTGTATCCAACTTATGGGGGGCCCTGGATCACAGTCACACAAGATGAGTGAGCACTGGTAGGTTGTATGATCTGTATTGCTGGAAAGAACAGCCCCATTGGTAAGGTCACAGATCCACTTGTCCATCTCTCCATGTAATGGCAAACTGAGAGTCAGAATAGTCTCAGCGGACCAACTTACAGTCTGGTAGGTGATAACCAGCTGGATCACAGGAAGGGCATAAAACACAGCGATAGTCGTGATGTTCCTGTGAAAAGAGAAGGAATAGGAAACTAACTCCATAATGACAAAAGAGCAATTATCAGAACTATGCAACATTTGTACATAATAGAGATTCACAATTTCATTAAAGATCTGCTCCCTTTTGTTCCATAATATAAGGTAATGTTCATTCCATTTGCTGCTTGTTAAGTTCAGAATAAAAAGAAAATAAAATGGGAAAAATTTCAAATTAAAAAATAAAAGAGTCCTGAGATGTTCAGCCATCATTAGCTACTCTACTCTGACTGCCAAATCTCACAAGTGTTTTAGCCTCTGGTTTACCTGGCCTCCTTCCCCCCTCATCTTGGTCACTTCTGGAATGTTTTATTCATTAACACTTTCACTGAAAAAGGAGTTGGAAAAGTACAGAAGAAATTCAAATTGGCCACTTATTGGCAGCCCTGACAAAACACTTGCATAAGGAAGAAAGTGATTAAACTATGAGCTAAAAGGTGATTTTTGGGTTACCCAGGAACTTCATTTATTCAGTCTAGCTCCAGCCCTCATTATCAAAGTTTTCTAATTTTTTTTTAATATGCAATTTCTCTCAGATACCTTACTATTCAATAGAAGTGATACCAGTTATAAGAGCAACTTAAACTAATTTCACGATGAAATTTGGAAAATAGTCTGGAAAATAGAATACTTGGGCTGAATCCTATCTTTGCTCATGCCTCCCTTTGTGACATTGGGGGAAGCTTAAATCTCTCCTACTTATGTCCTCATAGTTGTAAAAAGGCGTTAGCAATGGGGCAGGTAGGTGGCACAGTGGATAGAGCACTGGCCCTGAAGTCAGGAGGACTTGAATTCAAATCCAGTCTTAGAGTTCACACTTACTAGCTGTGTGGTCCTAGATAAGTCACTTAACCCCAATTGCCTTGCCAAAAACAAACAAAAAAAATGGGGTTAACAGCATTGACTTTTCCCTATTTCATTCCTGTTTTGGGAAAATAATGTTAGAAATGTTTTGAGTTCTTTGGAAGTTCTGAACTAATTATAGGGGCATTCTTAGGGCAATTTGCATCATATGGGGTTTGTGGCCCCTTGTTTAACATTTTTGTATGAGGGAAATATGGTTAAAATGAACATTAAGGGCATCCTTGAAAAGAAATGTCCCCAGCTGAGGTTGGGGGGCACAGTGGGGACGAGAGGAGGGGCATTATATGTGTGAAAGGGTAAAAAGCACAGTTACAGGGCAGTGATTCTCAGTGCCTTGGAGATACAGTGACTGATAGCTGAACGTCTCAGGGCTTTTAATTTTCTGTTTAAAATTTTTCCCATTTTTAAAATTCTGAACTTAACAAGCAGCAAATGAAACGAGCATTTCCTTATATAATATGCAACAGGAGTTGATTTTACATGGAGCTGAGAATCTCTATTATGTACATTTACTTTTAAGTGTATAATAAATTAAACATGTAACTTTCAAAACTGTCCTGCTTGTCCATGATTCCTTCCAGCCTTCCTTCTGTTCTTTTTCTCATTTTGAAGGAAGAGAACTCTATCCCTAGCCTCTATTCTCTCCCACCTCCCTGCAGGTCTCCTTTACCCCAAATAGAGACACCATTCCTTCTCTTCAATCTTGTGTAGCTCCAGCCGCCTTGTCTCCAAATTAAGGAACCCTCCCCCCTCCAAAGCAAAAAGCTAAGCATTATGGTCTCCAATTTGCCATGTTTCAGGATCATTGGATCGTGAATCTAGAGCTAGAAGGAGCCTCAGAGCTCACCTACCCCCACATTTTACAGATATGAAAACTGAGGCTCAAAAATAGAATTACTTTGCCAGGTAGCAAATTGCTGAGCTGCGATTTGAATTCAGATTCCCTGATTCCAATTTCAGAGGGAAAGTTCACTACTTTTTCCAGTACACTACTGGAATGGTGTTGACTATAAATTATTTCATCAAGATAGAATTGTCGCTGTATGCTGTGCTCTAGGAGAAGGCTCTGGGGTTAGGCATTTGTGCATTAACTTGACTGATGGGGTATTACTATCACTGTTATTCTTATTCTGCATTTCTGTAGATATTTTTTCCCAGCAAAGCACCTGCTGAAAATACACTACAATCGTCTCATAGAGACTGACCCCTCTGTTCCACTAAAGTGGCTGTTTCAAAGAAAAGCCAACAAGCTCTTCCTCAAACTCCAATTTAGACAATTACAGTGATTTTTCTAGCTGTGAATTTGTATTATCTGTGGCTTTACCCACCTTTTACTTACCAAAAATAAATCTTATATTTTTTGCTGACAATTCTTCGGTCCTTCCTAGACAGGTCTGACAGGTAGAGGAACATCTGGGTGGAGAGGGAATATGTTATCACAAAGGAAGTTTTTGTATGTTAATCAGGGTTAGGTCTGTAGGCAAGCTGAATGAGGAGAACAAAGTTACTGATACTGAGGTTCCCAGCTTACCATTAACTGAAAAACTTCACCTATACAACAATCTGGATTTCTCATGAGATGATCATTGTTTTTCTTCAAATAGGGAGGAAATGTATAACTGCCCCTAATCACTACTATAAAGAGGAGAAAGGGGAATTGTATGTATTTCAGTGTGATTTTACTCTAGAGGCTAAAGGTTTTGATAATAGCTTTCCCTTTCATTATGTTTTTAAGAACACTTTCTTAATGAAAACAAGACAAAACAAAACAAAACACCAATAACAAATAAGCCAAACACACCAGGATTTTCTCTGGCTATTGGGGATAGATTGAAGTGAAATATCTATTAAGTGTCTGGGATGTTTTATTAAATCATTAGACTGAAAAAGGAACAAAAATAAAATAAAAATGAATTTTGAAAATCATTAGAATTAACTTTTCAGCTTTTTGAGAATCACAATAGGGCAAAAGCCATGTCTTGTTCATTGACACAGTAGTGCTAAATAAATGTTTACTAAATAAATGAATGAATGAATGAATGGATGAATGAATGAAAAAAAAGAGACTTTTCCCTTGGAAGTACATTTTCCTTATAGTATTAGATAATCTGGTTGTCTGTACTCTTTGGTCATGTAATCCTTCTATTTTCTATAGACCCCTTCTACCCTCACTGGCATCAAAACTTTCTTTTAGGATACTGATTGTGGTCCTCTCTCTTTATTCTCTTTCCTTAAAGTTCTTATTGTCATTTTTTTCTAACTTACAGAAAGACATGTTTATTAACAGGTAGATTTACTTAAGTCCATAGTTCTTTTTTCTCTAAGCAATCTTGAAAACTGTAGGACACATCTGACTTCTTTTCATGGAGAAAAAGTGAGTTATCTCTGAAGTTCTAAGTTCATTTCAAGTGAACAAGGCCAGGCAGACATACCTTGGTGCGGATGACATTTTTGTCACTTTCAATATCTGGCATAGTGTCAAAATCACTCTCCTCTTCCACTGAGCTATCTGTGTCTGATTGGTATCGGGCCCCACCATCTGATGAAGACATCTGTCTGCCACCACTGGAGACTGATTCATCTGGAAGCAAAGAAAATGAGGAAACTCACAGAAGTCCCCAAACTGGTCCAAACTTGACTTTCTATAAATGTTGTACAGCTTATAAGCTGATTATTTATACTCAAGACACATTCTCTCCTCCAAATTCCTTCTCACTGGACCGTTGCTTAATATTTTTTCCTTCTGCCTATTTTAATAGGCATTTTAATGATCTAGGCCCAGAGCTGAGTGTAAATAGCTATTACATTAATCCTTTCAAAACAACAGATACTCTTTTGGGGTAGAAAAAATAAATCATGCTCATACTATATATTTCATGTTTTCTAGTACACATTTCACATAAATAGTGTAAAATTTTTATGTGCATAGTTGTGATTCTACCATGCTATGTGTGTAAGCACATGCAAATCTTCTGAACAGAGTATTTGTACACAGGGAAAGCCACACATACCATACCTACATTTATATAATAAAAATATTCTCAGGAAGAAGATGCCTCCTGTTCCCATGAATGTGTCCTGGAGCAGATGGGAATCTGTTTAGTTTGTTGAGGTTTGGCTACCTCTTCTGTTCAGATGGTTTTTTTAAATCCTGTTTCTGCAGCATCAAGCTCACATGCCTCTAATTGTTGCAGGGATATATAACTCTATCATGGGACTTCATGTCTTACTATATGGACATTTTAAGGAACATTTCCCATATGCATGGAGGTTTCCTTAGGGGGTAGTTTAATTTGTACAACAAACAAACAAACAAACAAACAAACATATTTCTCCAAGCTCCAACAAGAGAAGTATTCATAGAAGTTGTATTGCTTGTTGTTATTCAGTTGTGTCTGAATTTTCATGACCCCATAGACCATACTGTCCCAGAGGTTTTCTTGGCAAGGTTACTGGAGTGGTTTGCCATTTCCTTTTCTAGTGGATTAAGGCAAAAAGAGGTTAAGTGACTTGCCCAGGATCATTTAGCTAGTAAGTGACTGAGGCTGGATTTGAACTCAGGTCTTCCTGACCCCAGGCCTGGCACCCTATCCACTGTGCCACCTACCTGCCCAAAAGCTGTGTTAGTACCTATGAGACAATTACTGCAGCAGGAATATTAATGAGTTATGTGGATTATCACATTATTGAATTGGACACAGTGGTTGGGTCAATCACAAAGATAACCAAAAAGAATGGACTGATTCTGGCTACAGCCCAGAGTGCCTATAGTATATATATAGCCTACTCTTCTAATATGCCCTTACTTTTCTGAAGTGTGAGAGTAAGCAATTTTGTCCATCAGCAACCTAGTACCAGACATGTATTATCTAAGCACACAGGATGAATTAGAAAAAGCCCCCAATGGATACTAGGGTAGAAGAAAAAGCAACGTAGGAAATCCTACTAACACAGCACATACAACATCAAGAAGTAGAATTATAAAGTATTAGAACTGTAAGGGATAAAAAAGATTGTCTAGTCCAGCCATTTGTTTTACAGATGAGGAAACTGAATCATAGACTGGATAAGTCACTTGTCTGATAATCCAAGGTCACACAGTCAATGTTAGAAAGTGCCTCTTCAGCCCATGGCGCCCCAAGAAACACTTCCAACAAAGGACTCAGCATGATATACCTATTGCCCCGTAGCTGCTCCCTTCAGGTGTACTGGTGGCAATGGGGTGGGAATCAGTTACATTCCTAGATCCTGTAAAGGAAGCAAAGACGCAAAAAGTTTACCTCTGGTTGGCTAAAAGTCATATCAAAAAACTCAGCTTATTAAACCAGAAGCTTTTTAATATAGTTTTTTTGGTTGTTGTTGTAGTCATAACTCATCTATTACTCTCCTCCTTCTTTTCTATATTCTGTGCCAAACCTCTAGAAGCCAACGAAAGGGTCGAGTCATAGTCTAAGCACAGGGCTTTCAGGTAAGAAGAGCCCTTATTTACATGATGCTGTCTTCACAACAATCTTACAAAGAGGTAGTGCAAGTATAATTATCCTTGCTTTATAGAGGAGAAAATTAAGACTTTAAGCAATTAAATAATTTGCCCAAGGTCACACTAGTGGGTGGTAGAGCCAAACTCTAGACTGCTGACTCCAGGGTCACTGCCCTCTCCACAACATGATACTCCTTTAGGATGAAGGACATTGCTCCAAAAACCTTTATTCTACAATGAGACCTGGCCATGCGCAATTCACTTCAGGAGTGATTCTAATGGCCCATTTGTTCACTCTGCTTATTTTCAAAAGCTTTGAGAGACTGAAGCAAGTAAGAGTGACAGATTTTCTTGTAGGAGACACAAAATTCAGGAAAACTAAATTCAAACAGATACACATATATTACATGCATATATGTATGTATGTATGTATATTTATATATACATATATATATTATATATAGTCTAAGCCACATTGAAGAACTGATATGTCTGTATATATGTTTATAGAAATATTAATTATTGAATGTATATATACATATACACATGTATATCTATCTATCTATCATCCATCTATCTATCTATCTATTTATCTATATCAGTTCTTCAATGTAACTTTAGATTCCTGATCCTTCATTTGTCAGCTCCTTTCTCTTGTTGAAGTTTGCAACCTATGCTTTGAATTCTGTTTGGCATCTGTCTATAGAATAATCAAATATTGTGGCTAATAATCAGGGTATCCCATATATCATATATGGGTTGCCATGTTTCAAAAAATTAGAAGAGAATATAATACACAAAACACTAAAATGACCACATTAACCCAAAATGATGACAACCCTCAATTTAGTATGATCCCTACACAAATGTCACACACAAAATATATTTATTGTGTGTTTGAAATACATTTATGATGAGAATTATTATTTTTTTTACAAATGACTAGCCTTGTTAGTTTCTCTTATTATATCATTTTTATCTTTCAATTTTCAAACTTGTACCTCTTGCATTTCCAGCTGTCATTCTCTTTATGATTTCCAACTTCTTCACTTTTACTCTCTTCACTATTTCTCAGTTTCCTTGAACTCACAGAAATTACCTTTAGTTCTAACCAAGAAATTTAAAATATAGTAGCTCTTAAACTCTTAAATTCCATCTGTATCTGTCTTAGTCCAAGGACAAAACAATGATGTATTAGACTGCCCTAGTAATGGCATGTATCTAGGTGAATTTAAAGTTATATCACAAATTCTTAAATGTCCTGGTAATCAATATTTGTGCCTATAATTTTTGTTACTATATGATCTACACTTACAACTTACAGATCAATTGCTGTATAAAATCCAGGACTCATACAATTGCCCCAAATCTCAGAGAAATTCCTTGAACTTCTCTCTGGGCTTCAGCTTCATTTTTAAAGTAAGGTTGTTGGGCTAAATAATGTCTGAAGGGAAAAGAATAAGTGTTTATACATAAATTGAGGAAACTCAGGCTGAGAGAGGTTAATAGACTTCCAGAGTCAAACAGCTAATAAGTGTCTGAGGCTAGGTTTGAACTGAGGTCTTCTTGACTCCAGGTCCAATACCCTGTCTATCTACTGAGCCACCTAGATGCCTCTAAGTTCTTTCCACCTCTAAGATTTCTATGAGTTGATGCATGAAAGCCATTAACAGTTTTTAGACTTCACCAAGGCCCTCCTCTAATGCATCATCATGACACAGAAGTGACCCTGGTTTCTCCAAGGTTATGGCCATAGATTGCAAGCAGGTCCTACTAAGATGCAAGACTTTGTGTATAGGCCCAGTGATGACTGTATTTCTATCATCCAAGGACAGCCTGTTTAAACTTCAAGAGGTTCATCACGAGAAAGTTAGCCATGGGGGTCATGAATTTTTCTGCCACAAAGACTAATATAGGCCATCCACTAAATTATAGAGGGGATGAGACCTACATCAATGGAAAGAGTAGCCACATTGATGAAATCATGAATCTTTAAAATAAGAAGCATGATAGCTTGTCGGAGATGGTTCAAGGAGCTGGTCCTGCATTAAACTGCTAACAAAACTTTCTTACTGCATTTCAGGATGGGACTGAGCTCAACCCAGATCTGTTTCCTCACTTGACTTTGGATATCAAAGTTTCTACCCTTTTCAGGTCTCTGGCCCAAATATCTTTAGGCCATATACACTAGAAGAGCTCCTTAGCAGGTTCACCCATATCTAAGTGAAATCATAAGATTTGGCACCATCCAATCTGACTCTCATTTGATAGCTGAAGAAACTGAGACCAAGGTGTGTTAAATGACTTTCCCAAAGGTCTTGCCGGGAGTAAGCATCAACACTAAGATTTGAACCAAAGCCTTTTGACTCCAGATCTAGAGCTCTTTTAAATACTCAGTGCTGCTTCCTTTGAGTGTCAACCCCTTATGTTGTTGTCCATTTTCTGATGATCTTCTTTTGTTTGTTTGAATGATGGACAAGATTGAGCTGGCCTAACCTGAAGAGCAAAGAAAGGCTTGCTTGCAGTGATCTCTTTTGGAATTCTTCCAGGGTTGTCTAGCATCCCAGACACTTCATAGCAGAGCCCTTTGTTTCTCTACATTCTACCCAGCTGGCTTGATTGTATTACTCTCACCTGGTACTCAAAGGGATGTCGACTATGACATTCAACAGTTCAGAACTTCCTAACTCTATCCACTGAGCCACCTAGCCGCCTAAGGGAACACAAGAAGTAAGTGGCAGTGTTGTCATTTTTCTATCCAGTCTTCTGATACCAGATCTACCCGCCTTTCTGCTATACTAGGTTGACTCAAAAAGACACTAGGGCTTGAGGGAATTAAGTATTTTTTTTCTATGACTGGTTAACTTAATGGGCTAGGGCACAAGGACCATGAGGCCGTGTTCATCAAGACTTAAACTCCTGTGTGATCCAGGTAGACTCATCCCCCTTCAGAGCCATGGTCCAAACCCCTAGCCTCAGTCAGCTGTTTCATAAATGCACATCCTTGGTCAGAAGGCATCAGAAAAACAATATCAAACGAATGCTCTGATGACTTTTTATGATCTCTGAAGAGAAAGAATAAACATTTATATATACATTAAGGAAACAGGCTGAGAGAGGTTAAGTGACTTCCAGGATCAGTACTTTTAAAAGGATGAGAGAGGCTCATTTTAGGTACATCTCAAAAGAAGAAGGTGTAGATGGAGTCCCCACAGTCTCCTGCTGCAATCTTGTTCAAAATAGGAAGTAGCAGTGTGATCATACTAATAGAATCTCAAATTTGGAAGAGACTTTAAAAGTCATTTAGTACAATCTCCCTACCAATATGTAAGTCTCTTCTATAAAATCTCTGAAAGATGGTTATCCAACTTCTTGAACACCTCTAGTGATAGGGAGCTCACTATTGGGTGAACTTTGTAAAGCTGTCATTCTACTCTGATCAGCTCTAATTATTAGAATTTTTTCTTTTATTGCAACAAAATAAGAATCCTTATAAATTCTGCCCATTGGTACTGGTTACCTCAGTTTCTGTATAATTGTAGAATCATAGAATATTAGAGCTGGCAGGTAATCTAATCCACTCCCTTCACTTTACAGAAGTCTATAATAGCCAAATGACTTTATTCATTCATTCAACAAACATTTATTGAATGACTACTGAGTGGAAGACACTTTACTAGGCAATGTTGGGGATCAAAGAATGACAAGACTTGGTTCATGTCCTCAAAGACTATACGGATGTGGGGGAAGAGTTAGGAAGCAATAAATACAGTTCTCTTTTACCTGACTACTTTTCATCTCAACACTCTGGTCTTTGAAGTGCATCACTGTTAATAATAACGGCATCAACACTGCCCCCCCCCAAAAAAAACCCACGACCCAGTTTGTACTGAATTGCTTGAGAGCCTGTGTTATTATCTAGTGGGTTCCCACAGGTTTCTTAAAAGAAAGTAGCAAAGAGCAATTATATTTTTTATTGAGCTATATGTCCCTGTGCCAACATTACTTTGCAGGATTTATGAATTTCTTTAGCACTGAAAACTTCATTATAAAGAAGCTTTCAGAGGATTCAGTAATTAAAGGATTATTATATATGATTTATATGATTTTACTAGATGGTACAAATTCTTCTACATATTTTATGGCAAACAAGATGAGGCTGGTCAAAAGAATACTTTCTTCAATATCTTCAATACTGAATTCAATTCAATAATATTTTCAAATTTTGTACAGAAAAGTTGAAGGATAGTGTTATTCAGTTTCTATGGAAACTTTAAGTTTTATAGCTAGTTTAGGTCACTTGGTTTGCTAGTCATCCCATAAGTTTAGAATCTGGTTGCTCAGTATTTAGGAGTGGCAACTTCCTAAAAAGGAAATTCTATCTCTACTCTCCTACAATTATTCCACTTAAAAGTTGCTCTGTCAATTGAAGCCAAGTAAATCAACTAATTCCATTCAATAAAAGCCTCCTCAAAGAGCATGGAGTTGATCTTGGGTTCTCCAGAGATAGGCCAGTGGAGCAAAAGCTCTGAGATATTCTATGGAGCCTCTAGTTCTATGTCTACAATTTGAGGAGCAACCCACTAAGTTATCTCATTAAGTATCCTCACTAAAGAGACATTCATAATTAGTATGTTGACCCCTAGGCAATGAATTCTTTGATCACGGCAACCCATGAAACAAAAAATGCAAAATGGCCCTTATTCCTGTATAGCTCTCATTGGCCACTGAATTGTAGAAAAGGCAGCTGAGAGTGCTTAGAATTATATAGTTTTTAGGCTGTTAATATTAATTTGACTGTTGAAACTCTGAAGTGTAAGACCCCATCCAAAACCAACAAATGGCCATTTGATTACAGGCACTAAACCATATCAATCTAAGCATTCTCACCTGTAAGTGAAACCATAAGACATAACATTTTCAGCTAAGTTAAAGGATGGTTCATAAATTGTCTCTGAAGAAAATAAATAAAGTTGTTGGCAAGCTTAGTTTCACTGTGTACTTAAAGTCTTCAGGAAACATTTCAGAGGTTACTTGGTTATTCTTTGCCAACCAGAGAATATAGTGGTCAAAGGCAATACTGGTTTAGAACATAAACTCACTTGTAAAACATAACTGGGGAAAGTCACATTACCTCACAAAACAGCAAAGAACAATAAAGGGAAAAATAAGTCTATAGAAATTTCATTGTAAGATACAACCAAGTCAGATTATACTTAAAGCATTTACAAATAAAAAAAGAACAACAAACATGAAAAAGTAGAACAGATACATCAGCATGTATTTGTATAAAAACTACTTTCATCAATGAAAACACAGTGAAAACATTTTAACATGTCAACCTCTAACGCGGACTATATAAAGAAGCAAATGTCACTAAAGAAGATGAAGGTGGAAAGAGCAGCTAGATCAGACCGAGTGGACGTGAGCAATGACTTATATTTACTGCCTCCCCATCCACTCATTTCTCAACCTTTTGTAATATAGCTTCAGATAACCCACTTAACTTAGCCTGCTCTCTCTAAGGTTGCAAAAGATTCCTTTGATACCAAATCCAATGGCCTTTTCTCAGTCCTTAACCCCCTTGACTTATCTGTAGTTTTTTATATGAGTGACCACACACCCTTCTCCCTCAATTTCTGTGACTGATCTCATCTGATCATTCTCTGGCTGAACACTTCTTTTCAGTTTCCTGAGTGTAGCTGTCTCCCCATATCCCAACCCAGGCAATGACATGGCACTTTTCTTCTCTTTATATTCATCTGGTCCTATGGCTTCAAAAAGCATCTCTGTACAGATCAAATCTATACATCTAGCTGTAGCTCCACAATGCTCGCTATAAATCTCCTTCATTTCCCGTAGACCACTCAAACTCAGCTATGCACTGGGCCAGGTGCTGGGTATACAAAGACAAACACAACAATCCCTGACCTGAAGAAGCTTACATTCTTCTGGGGAGAGAGGTGGGGAAAGAGGCATATAACAATTACATAAATAAGTAAATACAGCTAATTTGAGGAAGATGAGAAAAGTAATAGCTGGGGAATGGGTGTACAGGAAAGTCTTCATATAAGAGATGGCATCTGAACTGAGCCTTGCAGGAAGCTGTAGATTCTAAGCAGAGGGGGTAAGAGAGGAATTGGGGGACATTTTATGCAAAGGCATGATAATAAAATGCAGGATGTTGTGTTTGGGGGAAGCTAATGGAGAGTGAACAAAGACTAGCAATACGAATAGTCTGGAAAGGTAGGTGGGAACAGATTGTGGAGAGCTTCAGATGCTAGACTGAAGGCTTTGATTTTATTCAAAAAACAACAGGAATTTTGGAAGAGTAGTGATATGAATAAGTCAGTGTCTATCCTAGGCTCTCTTCTATTCTTTCTCTCTTTCTGTCTCCTCACCACCAGATCACATGGATGTAATTATCTCTATGCTGATGACTGCCAGATTAATATATGCAGTCTTAGCCTCCTTCCTAAGCTCCAGTACCACTTTATCAATTGCATCTTGGACAGCATGGACATCTTAAATTCAACATGTCCAAAACAGAACTTTTCTTCCAAACTTTCCTATTTTTGTGATTCTTCTGGTCACCCAAGTTCATAATCTTGGCCTCATCTTCAACATCTCAATTTTACTCATTTCACATATACAATCAAGTCCCAAATCTTGCTGTTTCTATTTCGACAACACCCACTGCATCTGTCCTTTTCTTCCTATTTACATAGCAGACATACTTCACACTCTGACAATTCAGGCTCTTTTGCTCATTCATCATATATATATATATATATATACACACACACACATATGGAACTAATCAGTATTTATAATAAAGAGCCATTTGCCAATTGATAAATGATCAAGGGAATTTTTTTCTAAGAAAGAAATCCAAGCTATCAAGAGCTATATGAAAAATACTTTTAAATCACTAATAATTAGATAAATGCAAATTAAAGTAACTTACAGTCATCAAATTGGCAAGTTTGACAAAAAAGGAAATGACAAAGGTACTATGGGAAAACAAGTGCATTAATGAACTGTTGGTGAAGCTATGAATTGGTCCAGCCATTCTGGAAAGAAATTTGGAACTATGCTTTAAAAGTTACTCAACTATGAATATCCTTTGACCTAGTAATACCACTATATCAGACATATTGCCCAAGGAGATAAAAGAAAGGAGAAATGACTCATATGTCCAAAAAAGCCCCAACCTCAACACGTAGTATCTTTTCATAGTGTCAAGGAACTAGAAACTGAGAGGAGTACCCATCAACTGGGGAATGTTTGAACAAATTATGGCATACAAATGGACTAGAATAGTGTTGTATTATGGAAATGATGAAAAGGGGTGGGTTTTATCAGAGAAGCCTAGGAAGGCTTCTATGAAATGATGCAAAATAAAGTGAGCAAAACCAGCAAAACAATCTATATACTGATTTTGTGAACAAAAACAGCTTTGAAATACTTGGAAACTCTGATCAATGTAATAACCAGCCACAATTCCAAAGGACTAATGAGGTAGAGTAGAGCATTCAGGGAGGTGATGCATTCAGTGTAGAATAAGATATTTTTTGGATGTAGGCAATGTGGGAAATTGTTTTGCTTGATAATGCATGTATGTTGCAAGGGGTTTGTTTTCCTTCTTTTTTATCCCCCACCCTCAATGGGGAAGGTAGAACTCATAGAGAAAAGGGAGAGTTTTTTGTAAATCTGTATTTGATTTTTAAAAAGAAATAAAAGTGATTCAAAAAGAAAACATATCATTAAAATTTTAAGTAAAAAAAAATAAAGTTCTTCAAAACCTGGCTCCAGCTTACCTCTCCAGACTTATTACACATTATTCCCTTTAATGTGTACTGCAATAGAGTCAAATTGGTTTTCCTACTATTTCTTATACATGACACTCCATCTTCTCTCTCCAGACCTTTGCTGACTCCCATGTTTGGAATATACTCTCTCCTCATTTTCTCCTCATAAAATTCCCTAGTTTCCTTTAAGGCTTAGTTCAAGTGTCACCTTCTACATGAAGCCTTTCCAGATCCCATCAGCTGCTACTGCTTTTCCCTCAAAATTATTTTGTACCTATTTTGCATATTCTTTCTTCCTCTCTGTCTCTGTGTCTCTCTGTCTCTCCATGTATATAACATATGCACATATGTATGTATAAACATATACGTGTGTATATGTATATACGTATAAAATATACATATATTTTCCCCCTCCAGATTAATTGTAAGTTCCTTGAGTAAAGGTATTGTTTCACCTTGGGTTTTTTTTTTATCCCTACCACCTAGCACAGTGCTTGACACACAATAACCACTTAATAAATGCTTACTGATTGATGAGAAATATTTATTTGGCAGCTGCATAAAAGATGGATAGAGATGGAAGATGCATATATGGAGAATGGATTGGAGATAGAAGAAAATAAAAGCAGGAAGCCCAATTTGGATTCTATTAAGGCAAGAGATGGTAAAGTCTTAAACTAGAATAAAGATGAGTAGAGTGAAGTAGACAGAGATGTTGTGGGGAAACTATACCATTTATATGAGCTGGCAGTCACCAACTACAATCCTTCCACTAAGAGGGATGACCACCAGGCCTGATCATCTGCCCTGAAGCTGAACCCCACTATACACACTGGCTCCCCCAAATATTGTGTGAGTTCTAATTCTAAGAATATGAACTGTTTTGATTTTCTATTTGAATTCCTAGTGTTTAGCACTGTTCTTGGCAAACACTAAGGTCTTGATAAATGTGGTTCTACCCCTCCTCATTCATTCTTCTGATTTGTTATTGGTTTTGATTTCTCCCCCCAACAAACCAACAGTCTGATTATAGTCAGATTAGCTGATTAAGCAGGGACACCCATATCACTAGCCAATGTTTTTTCATTAGGATTTAGAGAGTTTCATGTTTTGTAATGTTATTTGGTGCCAGTCATGTTCAGTACCTCCAATTTCTATGGGGCTTTTGTGTAGACTGCAAGTTTTAAGACTTTTCTTTCTTAATCTTTGAGTCATACTTTCCAACAAATATTTGCTCCTTATGCCTATATTTCCATGGAAGTTGTTGAGAATGAATGTATTTGTTGATTTGTTAGTGGTTTTAGTTGTACATGTTCTCTCCTTCATTCCCTGTAGCAAATGGTTGTACATATGCTGCAGTATCCTGCAGGTTAGTCTTTTTACAAATGCTTAGTATAAGCACTGCAGTTATAAAGTGATCAAGTGCCCATGAAATGATGTTTCTTGTTGCCTTTGGAGGCAAGCAAAAAGCAAATCTGCCAACTCTTTTATTTGCATCTCCAAGGAGAACTGTAAGCCTTCTTCCACTTTCATGTAACTGCTTTATGTTTTTAGGCTTCATTCACAGCAAGAACATCAGTAGTTGTGTGATTCAGGTCCTCCAGTAGAATTCTCACTTGTTGGTCATTGTAGAAGGATCTCACATTTGGGGTGCCAACAGTTAAGTTAGTATCTATAGAGAATTTAAAAACTCTGGCTTTTAGTATCTTCTGCCTTTTTGCCAACCCTCTAGCAAAGTATCTGCAGAAACCCAAGGGGGACTCACAGAAATAAGTATCATTTTGTGGTTTTCTTTGTGCTATGGCTTGTCAAGTTGGCGACCAACCCGTCAGTAATGAGTTCCTGCAATTTTAGGTAGGCTGGACTTTAGAAAGCAGATATAGGCTATTACTGGGGCCATACTTAAAGCCTTTCCATCATGATAGAACCTGTAGATAGACATCTACTGGCATTAATGGTAGAACCATTAAGTCTTGTGGAACCAAACTGAGGAGGAAAGAAAGCATTAGTTGGACCAGGAAAGGAGGATTTTTGGGTTCTACCATCAATTCACCTTGTAACGTTGACAACTATTATAGTCCAAGTATCTGGGAAACTTTTTTTGGAATTAATTGGCAGTAAAATTGAATCATTAATCCATGTTTAGTTCAAATGCTTCAGCTAGGAAGGGGCATGCCAATTAGAAATTCATTTGGAATATTGTTCGTTCTCTCTCTCTCTCTCTCTCTCTCTCTCTCTCTCTCTCTCTCTGCCAAACCCTTTCTTCCTGGTTGTGGGAAGCTATTTTTTGTTTTGTTTTACATTAACCAGAAAAGCTAGTAAAGCTTCTCAGGCTGGTTCATAACTCACTGATTGCTAACTTAAACAGTGAATTGGGAAAAAGAGTTGGGAAGTTGGGAAGTAGCCCAAAAGAATAAAGCTGAAAAGACAGTGGCAAGCTAAATCAGTTTTCTTTTTGTGTTTCCATGGGAGTCTATAAATTCAGCAGAGAGACATACTTCAAGTGAACGCCAGCCAACAAATAGCTGGCAAATGTGTTATGCTGTCTCCAAAGGCAAGTTTGGCTCCAGGAGCACATACCTTGGAATGGGTCGATTTGGTTATATTTTATACTATACGGGCTCACGTGGGACAACTATTCTTTTAGAACAGACCTGGGTATGTTCTGATCCTTAGTTTCTCCAAATGTAAAATGGAGGCTTGGACTAGATCATCTCTAAGGCCCCTTTCATTTCTGACATTGTATGATTCACCATGACTAATTAGTAACCAAAAGTATTGCACCACTATTTGGTGGCTGACAGCTGTTGGAGGAAACAACTTGAGAAGGGCCTCTAGAGGCCATCTACTTCGTCCTCCTGCAGGCAGGCTTACGACTAAATCACTTTAGACAGACAAGACTTCACCTTGGTTAGTGAAGCTGCACAATCAGTTTCCTTATATGTTGTACAGTCCTTCTAAGTTAGGAATGGTTTTCCTTGGCACTAGGCTAAATTCTTCTTGCTCGGTGTTCACCCATTTCTGTATTTTGGAGCCCAGGGAGATGGAGACCAGTGGGTGATTTTATCTTACCTCTGGAACACAGGGAAATTTTTCAAATTCAACGAACATTTACCAAGCACAAAGTCCTGAGGTAGGGCTGAGGCATTGTGATTAGATCCAGATGATTTATGAAGGAAACAGGCCTTAAATTTTACTATTTTTTCTCTCTCTCCTAAAGAGACACGAAATCAACCTCACAAGTTCAAAATAGGGGAGGAAGGCTTTGGCTATATAGTAATTAGTCTGAAGAAGATCTGGTGTTTTTGATAGACTGTAAACTTGGTATCAAAACATGGCAGCCAACAGAGGTAATTCAGTCTTAGGCTTCATTAAGAGAGGCATGGTGTGTGCTAGAGAGGTACTCTGTCCTGTTCAAATCAACAAGCATTTTTCTTTTTTTTGGCTAGGCAATGAGGTTAAGTGACTTGCCCAGGGTCACTCAGCTAGTAAGTGTCAAATATCAGAGGCCAGATTTGAACTCAGGTCCTCCTGACTCCAGGGCTGGTGCTCTATCCACTGTGCCACCTCGCTGCCCCTTAACAAGCATTTTTAATGTGCTTGGAATATATCTGGAAAATTTGCTCTGTTCTGGGTATAATATTTTACTAGTGACATTGATAAGTTAAAGAGCAACCAGGATGGTGAAAGTCCTCAGTCATATCACAGAGAGGAGAGGTTGAAGAAACTGGGAGTGTTTAGCTGGAAAAAGACAAGACAAAGGGAATATGATGACTGTCTTCATGTATTGAAAAGCTGTTTGTGGAAGAGGAATTGATCTTGCTCTAGAGGAAACATACAGGAACTTTCTGATAGGGAGTTTAAAGGTGGAGCTGCCTGGAAGAAGATTTCATCTTGAAGTGAAGGCAGATCTTAATTATTAGCATTGTTTCAAAGTAGAAAGGTTCTCTTTGTGCTGACAGTGCTGTTACTGACATGGTGGTCCCTAAACCCCACAAAATGTACTTCAAGAAGTGTGGCAAGTGGGGCAGCTAGGTGGTACAGGGGATAGTCAGGAGGACCTGAGTTCAAATCCAGCCTCAGACATGTACTAGCTGTGTGACCCCGGGGCAAGTCACTTAACCCTGAATAACTTAACAAAAAAAAAAAAGGCATGTCAAGCAGCAGCCTCACAGACTGACCTAGTATGAGGTGGGTAAATACTACCTATGTGGTTAGGGGGAAGTCGCTATACCTGGAAGCAACAATCTAGTGATCAAACAAAGCCAATATTCCAAATAAAGACCAAGGCCACCAAGAAGAGGGTTGGCTAGATGCCCTCTAGGGCAGGTGGCTCAGTGAATAGAGTGCTGGGCCTGGGAGTCAAGAGGACCTGAGTTCATATCTAGCCTCAAACATTTACTAGCTATGCAACCCCAAGCAAGTCACTTAACCTTGTTTGCCTCAGTTTCCTCATTTGTAAAATGAGCTGGAGAGGGAAATGGCAAACCACTCCAGTATCTTTGCCAAGAAACCCCAAATGATTAAAAAAAAAAAGAATGTAAGGACTGCCATACGTAGTGATCTAGGCAATATGATATTCTTTTGGGACAGCTAGGTGGTACAGTGGATAGAGTACCGGCCCTGAAGTCAGGAGGACCTGAGTTCAAAAAAGGCCTCAGACCAAACACTTGATACTTACTAGCTGTGTGACCCTGGGCAAGTCACTTAACCCCAATTGCCAAAAAAAGAAAAAAAGAAGAAAAAAAGAAGAAAGAAACCCCAAATGGGGTCACAAAGAGTTGGACACAACTGAACCACAGTAACAGATGGCCTCAGAGGTCATTTCCAACTCTGTGATTTTGTGATTCTGAATGAGAGGCATGACATAAGCTCTGCCCCCTCAAATCATCTTGTGAATTGGACCCAAATTCCTTCCTTGGTGTAAAAGCAGGAACATTGGATTTGAAATCAGAAGACTGATCTAGGTTAGAATTATATCTCTTCTGTTTATTCCAAATGTGTCTTTGAACAAGTAACATCCCCTCTCTGGACCTCAATTTCCATACCTGTACAATGAGGAAGTAACCTAAACAGTTGCTTCTAGCTCTAAATATGAAATATCAAATATGTATAAAAGTAATTTTTAGAATGTTAATGCTCTGTCCTTTTGACTGGAATAAAGCTAAATCCAAATAGCTCCATGAAAAGCATGGATGTACAAATTAAATGAAAGGCAAGGTTGATATTAGGAAGCTGTCACATTAAGGTTTAATTTTACATTTTCAATGTTGGAGTTTGCATCCAAAAAAACTGCACCAGAATTTTAGTATATTGCCACTAGGGGGCAATAATTTGCCAACTGGGACCTGAGATGCCGGTTCTAACTCAGTCCTACCTATGTATCACACAATTTTGTTCATATAAAAATAGATTCCTCTATTAAAATAGCTAAAGTGAGCCAAACATTCATGAAATAACAAAAACAGCTTATACTTTGGGGGGCAATTCTTTTTTAAAAAAGGAATAAACTCCAATATGCTGTATGTGTATGTGCACTAATTTTTCATTCCTTTTCTAATAGCTTATTCTAACCATAATCTTGTATAAAGACCTTGATTAGTAAAATAATCTTCAAAACTTGCTCTTAATCTTAACTTTGTCCCATAACGTTTTCTGGGGCAG